GGGGGGGGGGGGCATGTGCTGCATATTCAGTGTGATAGGTGAGTCCAATTTAAAAAAATTATTTGCCTCGGACATATAACAACACAGACAGATTATTTACACATTTGTAAAAATGTTCATGTATGTTGAGTTGTCCGATCTTCCCTTGCATGGAAGTTAGTCATTGATACTCACTTCAAAGTCTCCAGAAAATAATAATAATATTAAAATAATAATAATAATAATAACAATAATAATACCTACTCTCCCACTCCCAAAAAATATTTAAAAGAGTTTATATGCGTATATAGAAGTCATGTCATACAAAAAAGATTGGAGTGTCTGTCAAGGTAATTGTTGTATTTCAAGGTTCCCGTCTGGAGTCCAGGGCCAGTACCCTCAGTCCCAGGAGGAGCCCCTCACCCCCAAGGTCACCCAAAAGGTCAAGGACCACCAGTGCACGGTCTATCATTCTGGGAGAGGACCGAGAAAGCATTGACAGTGGAAGGCCCCCTTCAGGGCTTTCACCACCAGAGGGAGACACTATTGCAGAAGGTATTTTTTAATGTAGATGAGAAATAAAAGCGTTTGACAATTCATAAAAATGTATTTTGAGGTATAATCTTGAGGTATCTTTTCACCACGACTAAGTTAACTACAGCTGTGAGTGTATGTTCATATTCTTAGAAATCATCTGTTGACAAATAAATCTAAGTAAATTTTCATAAAATTTGAGCATACTAGTACATTGTGTTGACTGGGTGTCTAAAAACTTCTTAAACTTAAGTAAATACTATTGTTTCCACAGGTAATGAGGTCATTGAGGAAGAAGACCCATACGAGAATGATGAAATTGTCACCATCTTTGGTGAAGATGGCATCCCTCTACATGACAAGCTTAGCAAGGCCTGTCTTGAAGTTGTATTCCCACCGTATTACTATCCCACCATTGGTCTGCCCAGACCTGCATCGCCGATTGAAAAAGAGAAATCCAGGTAAGATAGAAATGCTGTTTTTATGATTCTTAGAGAAAATTTTCAAGTTTATGAGCAGCTTTTGGAAGGATCAAGCATGTGCAGAGACGGTGCTGTCTATATATAGTCATTTCATTTGATAGACCATTTCTGCATTTGGGACTTTTTCCTTACAAATTAATTATCTGGAGGTACATAAAATTAAAAGTATTATTTAAAAACCTTCTTATTACTGAGAATGACAATTAATGAGAAATTTATCCAAATTGATACTGAAATTTTCTGTATACTAATGAATTGTTTATTAATATGCTTCCAGGTACTATCACTTAATAGAGAGAGCTGTTGAGCCTCACCAGGTGGCGCCACACCAGAAGGTCTGGCTGGACGGTATCTATAAACTGGTTCCCAAACCTCTCCGTGACCTCACAGAGGCCAGAAAACAGTTTCAGCAGGTGAGATATGAATTAAGTAAAAAGAAGTAAATTTGTTGTTGTCAGGCCTAACTGAAGTTTTTTTAATCAGATTAGTTTCCCTCATTTCATTTTTATGGTTCGTAAGTATAAAGAAAATCATAAATTTTTTGTATGAAAGTCATGGCCAGAAACGCACTCTAACACTGAAATTCATTTGTTTGTCTAGGAAATGGAAGAGGATTATAGGACAGCAGTACAAAAATGTGTTCTGGACTATATATTATTGGATATAAAAGAGCAAGAGAGACTAGGAGTTTTTCCTCCACCAAAGGTAAGAAGCCTTAATTTAAAAGATTATAAAATCGTCGATGAATTTTGCAAAGAAAATAAAAAGATATTAGATAGATTGATAGATGCATAGATACATGTAGATAGATGAATAATATAGTACTTACATGTAACTGAAAGACTTCATATGGCAAAGCTCTGGAAATATTTTTTTCTCTTCCAGCCATCCCACTCTGCTGGCAGATGGGGCTTTCCATGGAAGAGGGCTGTAAGGAAGGCGAGGAAGTTCATGACCAGGGACCTCTACGTGACACATCCTGTCATGAGTCAAATACTCTACCATTTTGAGAAAAAGTAAATTGGAATTAAGTTTGGTTTGCCTTGTTATGCACAGAATTTGGCTGGAATCAGGAAATATAAGAATTTTAGCTTTACTCTTGTTAAACTCATCCCAGCTGGACTTAAGTTTTGTTACTTCTTCCCCTTTGAAAAGGATAATTTTTCTCAAGTTTAATTTTGAAATCTCCACCTCTTTAGGTTATCATAACTACAGGTTGGTTAAATTATTACAACGTACTGTTTTTCTTGCAGCTATGCAGACTTCCGCCTGATAGACCTGCCAGGACTGAAGAAGCGTATGCCTATCACCATGGAGAAACTGAAGTCCAACGTAGAGAGCACATGTAAGGCTGGTTCTAGCCTGCTAAAGAACCAGTGGATCAATGAGTGCTGTGCCATTGTGGATGACCTCAGAGATGATGTGGAGGCCTGGATGCCAGACAGTGCTGTGAGTTTTAATATTCTACTGGTATTTTTATACTCCCAGGTAGTTTTATTGTGCTTTTTATTTTGTTTTAGGTATGTTCAAGAATAAGGTGATTACTTGATTAAATTATTTGATTAAATCATTTGATATTGTGTGTACCCTGTATTAGTCATTTTAGTTAATTGCCATATTATTTAAGATTATTTTAGAAAATATAACTGATTCAGAAGATACATAATTACTACTGTAGACATTCAGTGTATTTACAGTACTAGTAGAAATCCAAGTATGTCTTTAGGTGTTATGGACAAAATGCATGCTTTCTACAGTGTAGTACACAAAGAATGCCTGCTGGTACAATTTGATATATTTTCCATACCACAGGAGCTGAGAATGGACAAAATGGACCATTTCTTCAACAGCGCTGCCTCCCTGATGTCCAACCTCTTGAGGTCAGTGGTCAAGAAGTCCATGTTTGACCTTGTTGACCTCTTGGAGCAGTATGCAGATGGAAATGCGTACGAGGGAGAATATAACATCATGGCAGGCTTTGGACTTCCACAGAAGTTTCATCCTATAACAATATTTTTGGTTTGTGTAATTCTTTAAATCCATCTTTTGCATAAATTTTATAGTATTGTAAAATTAGGATAACAGCTTATACCCACACTATAGTGCAAGTCACCAAAGAAAAAGAAAAAAAAATTAGTAAGGGATATGTTTTATTATAGTAATTATCTGATGAAATGAACTGTTTGCATGCCTATACTGTAAAGCTCAGTTGTTCTCACACCAGAAATGAAAAATGTCCACTGAACAGTGTGACTGGTATCCATAAAACTAATTGAACATTGGCCTTGACTTTAACCTTGACCTTGAACTCTGGCCTGTCATTCCAGGAGGAGCATATGGCACAGAATACCACCAAGTTCAGGCCACTGGTCAGCCAGGTCAAGACCACATTTGATGAGATTATCAATACCATGGTAGCAAGTGTTGTGGCCATTCCTAGAATAGAACACAGGTATAGAAAAGGACTGTTTTTTAGTGGTGACATCTATAGGACTGTCTGGGGTGACAGCTATAAGACTGTCTGTGTGATTGAAACTTTGTAGTTGCATTTGTTATGAATTAAAATGGATGGTGCTTGAAAGAAATTTCCCAATAATGTTCCTTTGGCATTTCTTGATAAAAATATACAAATATCAATCTTCCAGGTTGTTCCAGCCTGTGGAAGATCTAGAGACACACTATCTGAGTACAGTGAAGCAGGATGAAGAGATCGTGGAAGAAGCCAAGGTCAGGATCAGGAAAGTGGTGGACGCAAACTTCCATGGACCTCAGAGGTGAGTGTATATGTACAGGGGAGAAATAGGACATGCATATCACATAGATTGCACAGCTAGCATATATAATATTAATAGTAACCATATTTGATATGTACAGAACTTTATATTAAATGCAGGTCCAGAAGAGTAATATATTTAGAAGCCTAGGCACTCAACTATTCCAAATCAAAATGGGGGATTAAGCCCCGTGCAGGCTCTTCATGGTAAAATATCTAGTGTATTGTCTTTCCAAAATATTTGATTTGGGGGAAGGGAAAGATTGCATTTCTTAATATCCTCGATCTGCAAGTAATACAGTGTACATGTATGTACATCAGTATTGTACATATCATAATGTGTTATATGTCATATAACATGATGTGGTTCATATTAGCATATTTGTTTCTCAAAATCTGTCACTAGTTTGGGGAAAGAAAAAGTTGGCTGTGACTTATTAGAAACACTAAAACATTTAAGTTTATTGAATGAAACATTATGCTAATTAAGATGAACCACTTTATTTTAATTATGAATATGAGGTGCACAAATTAAAAGTTTTTAGTTGTAATTATAAAGAATTAACAGGCTTTTTAATCAGCATGTACATTTGTATTTTGTGGCACTAAATAGATTAAGTTAATTTAATTTTGGTTATTTTGCACAAATAATGAAATAAGTGGTTTTGCTCTGCATGTGCAAGGCTTTGCATTGAATATATTTACTGAGTTTATTCGGTTTAAAATCTTGCCTCAATTTGCCTCACTGCAAAGGCTTTTTATATCTTGTCAATGAATTTAAAAAGCCTTACCTTGTTTTACATACAAGAGCTCACTATGGTGTCCTTTGAGACCTTTAAAATTCTTTTCTAAATGGAAAAGAAAATTGACTGTCAGAATCATGACTGTTTTCAGTCAGTTGATGAAACTTTGACAGCTATAGAGTCCCTTTTGTCACTAAAAGCTTGAAAGTTTTAAAAGTAAATTTCACTTTTGATATTTTGGATAGCCTTGAACAGTCGTTTTTAGACATATATTAAGTAAAAGAATTTAAATTATCAGTTTGAGAAAAATGTCCCAAACATCGTGAGCTCTCCGTTACAATCCCGGCACACTGTGTGTTTATTCACTTGCACCGTCTTAACATTTTGCCACTTTTTATTTATTCTTTATTTACGCCACAGGTTCAGGTATGTATAAGGCTATATTAGTTAACTGCACTAGTAGTTATACTAACCATTTTTTCCAGTGAAACTTCCTAACCTTATCAATAACTTATTATATCAGCCATACCTGCTTTCTTTTTATTATAATATTTTTTTTATTAAAATATCTCATTTTCAATGGAGATAGATTTTTGGTGAAGGGTTCAATATATCTGCATGTGTTATGGGTAGATGTTACATGAATACTCTTAACCCTACGGCCTATAGATGTAAAATTTTCAGATTTCATCTCAAATACTCTTGGACAGCTGTTTCTACATTTATTCTATCATTAAAAAACAGGGCCACATAAATATCAACTTCATAGGTATTTTGTTGGGACTTTTTGGTAAATTATTATTTCAGTCTTTAACTATTTTTCTAAATCTAGAGTCAATTTTTTAGATGTCACTTCATTATCTTACAATAATTCCACTTTCTTTAACTTCTACTTTTTCTATAGAGCACCCTTTGTCAGATAAAAGGAAGACAATTACACTTTAAGTGTTTATAACCACTAATTAATTTTTTTTCTTGGTTAAGGGACTTCTCAACTTTTCATAAGAAAAGCATACAGCATTTTTTTTTTCTCATTGGGCAAAGTTTAAATGGCAAAGTACTAATTTTATTATATTTGAATTTAAAGATATGCATCTATTTCCTTACCTACCATATCCTAAGTATTTTCCCAATTAGCACACAAGATGGCATCATCTTATGGGATAATTGTATATGGATACACTTCACGTGGCACTTTCAACATCAAATTCTGCAAATTCTATGCTTAATTATTATAAAAGGGATATGTACAGTTTACTATCAGTAAATGGTTACAGTAAGGAACAAACAATATTTCTATCAAATCTCATTTTGACCTTCGTATCAATTCTGTTAAATAGGTCATACGGTTTAACAAATCAAATCAAATATTTATAAGATTTATCAGTTGTATTGTATTATGTACAAACGCTCCTGACTACTTTACAAATTTATAAAATGAATTAGAAATGTGTACTGCAACTTACATTTTGAAACTGATTGACATTGCATTCTCAGCCTGAATGAATTTAATTACCATTTTGCATGTTTCCCACAGCTACAAGGTGGTATACGAGCCGTACAAGTATCTGCTGTCCAAGGAGGCGGACAGACAGGTGGAGAAGTTCATCAGCAAGGAGCGAGCTCTGCGGGAGTATGTCAGGGAGATAGAGAAGTTGAAAAAGATGGCATGGGAGGTTGGCTCCTTTCCTGTCTATGTTCCCATGCACCTGTTCCTGCTGGACTGCTCAGGGATTAACCAGGTATGTTCTCTCTCTCTCTCTCTCTCACTCTCTCTCACTGTTGTCACATTATAAATTATTGAAATATCATACATCTTTCACCAATCTTATGGAGCAGATTTTTTGTATTCGGTATTAGCAGAAATTAATATGAACTTTCCCTTACTCAGAATTATGCAAAATATGAACAAATTTTCCAGTCACATTTGAGTTTGTAAATTCTACTTTATTTTCAAAAAATCATTCCTCCTCTTTACTTCAGTGGCTGATACAGCGCGCCCGCAACCTGGCAGACATCATGATCACCAATGTCATGAACATCAGTCGTAAGTTTAACCGTAGTATTGTCACGCAGTACGAGACCATCATGCGGAGGATTACGACGCAGGCAGAGACCACGGAGGAGCTGGTGTCTTTGATAGACTATGTGGAGAGGCTGAGAGTGGGCCAGTTACTGGAGCTAAATGTTAGTATTATGGGAATTTTATTAGAAGAATTAAGAAATTGATGAAATATAAGGGTTTTTATTTTCATTATATCACCTAAGACCTTCCAGTCACAAGTCACAGTGGTTAAACCCTAATGACAATGATGATAATAACTAAATTGCGAGAAATTTTCTATAAAATTTTAGTCCTAACATTATCTTTATTTTTATGTGTCAAAAAGAACCTAAATGTTATACCATGTTTAAGTTTTACAAGTGATTGAGGTCAAATTTAATTGAATATAAATACAATTTTATAAAACACCATAGGCATCAACATGCATCGTCATGTACCTCTTAGATATTTTCTTGATTTGAAGTTTAAGAACATCATATCCATTATACATACTCTCTTGTTCTTGTAGGACAAACTGGAGGTGGCAGCAGAGAACCTGTTGTTTTTAATGGACTATTCGTACCTCCCCAAACAAGACTTGGTTCTCAATGATAACACTTTCTCCTGGAAGACTAGGATTCTACCAGTGGTCAAGAACAGGTCAGCTGGTCACTCAGTGGTCACTTACTGGTCACTCTGTGGTCACTTATTGCATGGTCACGTATTAGTCACTTATTGTCTTATCATTTTTAAAAAATGTATACTAAAAATTCATTTCTAAATAGCAAAATTTGATTAAATAAGAATGTTATGCACATTTAACCTTTTGGCATTGATGACCTTTTTGTGTCATTTTATTAGTCTACAATAATAATAAATATTGCAATATGTTTAATTAATTCATATATAATAGCACCTAATAAAGGAATGATGACATTTTATTTGTGTAGTTGTTTAGTGATGATGCAATACACAATAATGATAATTATCAAATAAAACCCCAATTTTCCCTCTAGTGAAACCAAACTGCAGAAAGAACATGAAATTGCTACCCAGAACCTGACGAGGTGGAAGAAGAAATTTAAGACCAAGCTTGATGCTATGGCCAAGAAGGTGAAGGACTTCTCACAGAAGGACAGAATGTCTGAGGCAGAGCACTATGTCTTACAGTTGGAGGACATGCAGAAAAATCTGGAAGAATTCAACAAAGAGGTACATCTTTTATTTTTTTACTGCACATTTTATATTTTTTCTTGCAATAAAATTGCAGAACTGAAACATTCTTCTCATTGACTTAAAACTTGCGCTGGATATATAGTTATCAGTTTCTTCAGTGTGATATAACTTAATAATTTATAGATAAATTGACTTCAGTTTTATTGAGTTTCTTTTTACATCATTAGAAATATTTTTTAAGTCATTATTAAAAAAGAGTATTTGAATTATGCACTTTGTCAAATAAGATTTCAATAACATTTACTTTCAAAATAGTAACCAGACGTTTTTGTTCCATTTTACAGAAAGTTCTCATCAACAAAGAAGAGGCTCTGCTGGGTATTGGACAACAGTCTCCATATGTGGAGATCCAGGATATCCAGAGTGCCATGGAGCCGTATGAGAAATTGTGGAAGGCGGCTGTCAAGTTCTATGCTCAGAACGACAAATGGATGAATGGTCCACTACTGGAAGTGAATGCTGAGGTGGTAGAAGAAGAGGTGAGGGGAGAAACTGGAGAAGATAAATTGGTATTCAATAAATGGATTCAAAGTCAGACTTAAATATATCTTTGTTGCAGTTTCTCTCAGATAGTAAAATCAGGAACAGTATATTTATTGGAAAGAATTTCAAAAATAAGTTTTTATTTATTTATTTATTATTTTTTTTTCATAGAAAAGTTTTATCATTGCATATTGACACAGATCATTTTATTTGTCTCAAAGACTCAGTCAGATATTTAATCAGTATAATAAGCTGTAATGTAAATTACTAATTCCCAAATGTAAAACAGTGATTTAATACCTTATTTCCCCTTATTTCAGGTTCAAAACTTGTGGAGAACAGCATACAGACTGACCAAGATCTTTTCCCACCCCAGTATGGCGGGGCCATTCAGGGCAGCCACCAGTATCAAAGGCAAGCTGGAGAAGTTCAAGATTAACATGCCACTTATCACAGCCCTCTGTAACCCTGGGATAAAACAGAGACACTGGAACATGATGAACCATAAGGTAGGCTGCTGAATGGATTTTAGTTATAATAGAGAGCTGTATTTTCTGTTAACTGTGACATTAACTCTAAAATTAGACAAAATGGTGGACATATTACTAGTAAATTATTCTTGTTTTTATGTGTGTTTTCTTTTAGTAATTTATCTAGTTATAAATGATTTTGTTCACATTTTGCTATCCGGCTTCATCTTCCTCTTCTTAATCATACATAAAATGTGCTTAACGTTGACACAAAAATTAAATAAAGACAGATAAATAAAAGGCTGTATTTTGCTCCTCTAGGTTGGTTTTCAAATCACGCCGACTGAGGAGACCCCCCTTCAGGAAATGCTGGGTCTGGGACTGGAGAAATTCCTGGATGAACTCACAGAAGTCAGCTCTCAAGCCAGCAAGGAGTTTGCTTTAGAAAAGGTACTAAACATATGGAATGAAAAAGAATCTTGGATTTTGGAGAGTATTTAATAATAGACAAAAAATTGGATGTTGAGGTGTTTATTGCACTTAAGTGGAATGAGTGCTTGAAAGACTTTTCTGATGATTATAGAAAATTTTTAAATATTTCAAACATGAAATTATAACTAATTTCTGACTTAAATAATATTGTTTGAAATTTTGATTTTAATGAATTATTTTACTGTGTTTTGCAGGCTCTATCCAAGATGAAAAGCGACTGGGAGATAGTCAACTTTGTCTTTGTTCCCTACAAAGACGCTGACATCAGCATCCTGTCAGCCATTGATGATGTCGAGGTCCAACTTGACGATCACATAGTCAAGACAACCACAATGAAAGGCTCTCCTTTTATTGGTCCATTTGAAGCTGAGGTCAATGAATGGGATGCTAAGCTGGTGAGTACAAAGCTTTGTGGTCACTTTGATTACTTTATCTTGTCTAAATACTTAAATACATGTATGGACATTTGACTAAAAATAAACACTGATGATCCATGTAATAAATTATTTATTTTAGTTTAGTGCAAAATTGATAAATATATCTTGGTTGCAATGTTTAATTGATAGATATATTGAATCATCCCATGTATGTATAATGCTAATATATATTTACTGACCACCCTTCCTCCCAATATTTTAGCGGCGTATGAAGGCCATATTGGATTCCTGGCTGAAGGTTCAGGCAGCGTGGTTGTACCTGGAACCCATCTTTGGGTCAGCTGACATCAGGAACCAGATCCCCAGGGAGGGGAAAATGTTTGAGGAGGTGGATGAACACTGGTGAGGGCAGGCAGCACAATATGCAGCACATCCAGGCACATTGTCACAACTGATACAATTACATTGTCACAGCTAATACAGTTATATTGTCACACCTAACAAAATTACATTGGTTATATAAAAAATTACATGTCTGATATAAAAACATTGTCACATCCAAGACAATGAAAGTTCATTAAAGTTTTTCTAGATTAAAATCGATTATATATTTATAATTTTCTGTAATCTATGGAGAATCATGTGAAAAGGAAATATTTTTGTTATTAAAACAACAAAACTAAACTAAGGAAGAGTCATAGGATTTACCCAACTTATTCAAGTTGTACTCAGTATGTTTATTTTTCCACTTAAGGCACACAATAATGTCCAATGCTGTAAAAGATACAAAGGCACTTGTTGTCACATCACAAGACCAGATGTTGGAGAAACTACAGTATTCAGAGGTAGGTGGTTTTATTTACCAACTTCTGTGATACCGAATGTGATAAGGTTCTTATGCTCTAAAGGTATTTGCATCTGCAAATTTGACAATGGTCAAAACTTTATAGAAAGCCTTTATCTATTGGCAGCTTTTTCACCACAGTGTAGAGACTTCCTGTTGAAGATACTTGAACATTAATTTTTTTCTGTTACAAAATATTTTTGGAGTGGTAAAATTAATATTGTCACTTCTTCAGTCTATGCTTGAAGACATCAACAAAGGACTCAATGACTATCTGGAGAAGAAACGCTTGTTTTTCCCAAGGTATGTTTTAATGAATATTTCTTCAACAACTGTGTCAATATTTATATTTTATTAACATGTTGAAATTTGTTTTTATTAGTTTTACTAAGTAACTAACTCAGGGCAAATCAAGTTACATTGCCATCTCCATTTAATTTTTTTACATATTCAGAACATACCAATTTCAGAATAAAATTTTTAAGAAAGATTAATTAACAATTATACATGTAACTTGTTCTTTCAGGTTTTTCTTCTTGTCCAATGATGAGTTGCTAGAAATCTTATCAGAAACCAAAGATCCTCTCCGCGTACAGCCTCATCTCAAGAAGTGCTTTGAGGGAATTGCGCAGTTGACCTTTACCCCTGAGAAGGTCATCGTAGGGATGGAGTCAGCTGAAAAAGAGGCTGTAGATTTCCCACGTCACATCGTACCTGCTGAAACGAGGGGATTAGTGGAGAAATGGCTCATTCAGGTTATTATTACTGGGTTTTAGATTATGTGGAAAAACACATTGTATATATTGTTGCTTAAAAATTACTTAAACATTTTTATGAAACCTGTCCACATTTTAGAATCAGTGGGGTTGTGGGGCTTATTAAATTTTCTTCTCTTGTTGGAAAGATTCGTGTTTTTTGATTTACTGTTTTTTAAATATATATTTTATAATGTATCTGATAGTCTTCAAGTGATAAACAAAATTGACAAATTTTTAAAAAGTCGGTCTTTAGGTTAGTTTCTACATGTTCTTATGTGCTTAACTATTTCTGATTTTTAAACTAATTAAACCAACAATGTTAAGTAAAGAAATTCCACTAAACACTACCAGGTTGAAGACACCATGAAACTGAGTCTAAAGGACAGCTGTGCCAAGGCAGTAGCAGCCTATGATGAGAACCCCAGAAGTGAATGGGTCCTCCACTGGCCTGGACAGATAGTACTGGCAGCTGGAACAGTCCACTGGACCTCGGAGGTGGAACAGGTATGGGGCTGGGGGTATTGTTTTCAGTCAACTTTTTTAAAAAGAAATTTTCAAGGTTTTAAAGAGAATATTCAAGAAATTATTCTGTTTGATCCTTCATACAAAGATTTTTATTTTCCACACTCAAGGGAAACAATGTGATTGAATGGTATAGCAAGAATGATGTTAGGGAGAGAGTAGATAAACATTATATTATTGATATAATTTGATAACTGAAACAGAAAAAAAATTGACAATAATCTTCTCATATTTTTTCTTCAGTCCATTGTAACACCTGGAGGGATGGCAGAGTATCTGGCCAAAAGTAACCGCCAGATAGACGAGGTGGTCACTTTGGTCCGAGGCAAACTGACCAAGATGGCCAGAATCACCTTGGGGGCACTCATTGTCATAGATGTCCATGGTGGGTGTTTGATTTTATGTTGAAATCTTGATTGTGTCAATGTCACAAAATAAGAAGTTCAAAATAATACTGAATCTACTGTGAAAACAAACAGAAAGTTTACTAGCTAATATGCACAAATTTGATGTCATGTTTGTTATTACAGTATATGAAATTTGAACAAAATTATAAATTCTGAACTTAGAATCATTAAAAGTATTTTTTTTTTTTTGAATGAAACAATTGATATAAGATTTAATAGATATCATTGTCAAAGAGAAAAAATAGTTTTAATTAAGATGCGTAGTATTAACAAAACTGGTCCTGTTCCCAGCCCGTGATGTTGTGGCCAAGCTTAAGGAGGTCCAGGTGAGCAGCTTGACAGACTTTAACTGGATCAGCCAGCTGAGGTACTACTGGGAAGGGGACATTGTGATAGTCAAGATGATCACCACGGCTGTGGACTATGCCTACGAGTATCTTGGGAACACTGGGAGGCTGGTGATCACACCTCTCACGGATAGGTGTTACAGGTAATGCTGCTGTTTCTGTATTATCTTTGTATAGTATTGTATTGTGTTGTATTTTTACTGTATACGAGTACCTGGGGAACACTGGGAGATTGGTGATCACACCTCTCACTGATAGGTGTTACAGGTAATGGTGCTGTTTTTGTATTGTAATTGTTTTCTTTTATATTTCTACTGTATTTTTATTGTTTCTTTATTGTCATTGTTACTGTATTTTTACTGTTGCTAGTATGGTAACTTTTGTTTGTTATTATTGTGTCTGTTATGGAGTTGTGTATTGAACTATGCCTATAAGATAAGTATTATTCTTGATATTATAGAACCTTGATGGGTGCTTTAAAACTAAATCTTGGTGGTGCCCCTGAGGGTCCAGCAGGCACTGGGAAAACAGAAACCTCCAAAGATTTGGCCAAGGCTGTAGCTAAACAGGTACCAGTTTGGTCTTTATTAACATTTTAAATTGTAATGTTAAACAGACTAAGAAAGAATAATTTTTAGATATCAAATTTTTATGAAAGTGAACCCAATTGTAATGAATTAACTTGTTTAGTTCCTCGTCTGTAAAAGAAAATGTTTAACTGTTGGCTTTGTTTTTCTGTCTATATCAAAGCCAGATATTAACCTTACCAGTGTAGTTTGTTGGCTTGGACCACAGGTCTGAACCCAGTGTAACAACTTAACGCAATTTCATATTCACACCTAACACAGTGTCACATTCACACCTAACACACTGTACCATCTGTTCCAGTGTGTTGTGTTCAATTGCTCTGATGGCTTGGACTACAAGGCTATGAGTAAGTTCTTCAAGGGACTGGCACAGTCTGGAGCGTGGGCCTGCTTTGATGAGTTCAACAGAATTGAGTTGGAGGTAAGGATTATAAGGAGATCAAATCTGTTGATGTTTACATTTAGTAGACAGCAAAATTTGTCACCTTTTAGGTTGAATTATCATTTATACAGAAAAAATCTTGGAGGAATTTTTTTTCTTTTGAGTAATGAAGAATCTACTGTATTTATATCAACAAGAAGGCGCAATCATATAAACAGTTCACCCCCTCCTCCCCCCACACACATACATGGTAAGCATTAATCTTCACCTAAATTCTAATCTTGACCTTGCAAGTATAACCTTGACCTTGTTTATAACCTTGACCTTGCAGGTGTTGTCTGTGATAGCCCAGCAGGTCCAGAGTATCCAGCGTGCCATAGCAGAGCACCTGAAGACCTTCAACTTTGAGGGCACTGAGTTGTCCCTGGACCCCACCTGTACTCTCTTCATCACCATGAACCCAGGCTATGCTGGCAGGGCCGAGCTCCCTGATAACCTCAAGGTAATATTATTAGATATCCAGTCTAGATAATCTATATGTAAATTTTTGTCTTTATGCAATATCCTGTGCTGGTAATTTCATTGTTCATGTGAACCATCAGGTGAAGTATAGTAACCAGTGAAAAGGTCTTGAAACGATGAAACACAAAACAGTGTCTTTTTAGTCATGGTGCAAGTAATTATGCATTTATTAACCAACATTGTAAGTCCAGAAATTGAGATTTTCATTTCATTTTGTTTTGACTATGGTAATTGAAAAGCTCTCAACTGTGATATGTATATAAAAAAAAACATTGTTTAAACGATATGTGAAAAATTGTTATTTTAGGTGTTGTTCCGCACAGTGGCCATGATGGTCCCAGACTACGCCATGATTGGCGAGATCTCGCTGTACTCCATGGGGTTCATCAATGCCCGCAGTCTGGCCACCAAGATTGTAGCCACATACACTCTGTGTTCAGAACAGGTAAAGTACTGCATGACACCATACAGTAGTCATAATGGACATGATATGATATAAAGTAACACATAAGACTTATCTAATCTTAGTCACAGTAGAAATACAAGATAGTGATTATGCTCACTCTGTTCAAAAGTTGTTTTTTTTAATATGTTGAAATGCTTAAGGTTGAAATGAGGTTGAAATTGGAACAAAAGAAATTCCAAGAAGGCCAGAGGCAAGTTAATTGAATCCTGGATTAACAGTCTCAGCAATACAAAATTTTCTGTGTTCGCTGAGAACCCATTGTGTTAGTTGTGACACACATTTTGCCCTGGTTGTGACGGTCACATCCATTGTTACCTTGCAGCTGTCCTCCCAGCACCACTACGACTACGGCATGCGTGCTGTGAAGTCTGTTCTCACTGCGGCAGGGAACCTCAAGCTTAAATACCCTGAGAGCCCAGAAGATGAACTGCTGCTAAAGTCTATCATAGATGTTAACTTACCCAAGGTAAGCATAACCATGGCAGAAATAGATTTTCTTTATTTCTGAGGCCGTTTTTAGTATGATGTTATTATTTGTGTGTGTTTGTGGTAATTATAACCTGTAAACAAAAATATATCTAAGCTAAGGGTACAAAAATATTTCAGCTTGTGTTTGATAATTTTCACGTATGAAAAATTAATCTGATTTGTTTAGCTCTTTGGAACTTATGAAACTCAACCCTGTTTCTTTATTTACATCTGAATCCAACTATATAATAGCATTTAAATTTAGAAAAAATAAAAATGAAAATTTATGAAATGTTGTCATGGAAAATTGATGTAAAATGTAATCATTTCAGTTTTTGTCCCATGACATCCCCCTATTTGAGGGCATCATCTCGGATCTGTTCCCAGAGGTGAAGCAGCCGAAACCAGATTATACTGACCTAGAGGTGGCGCTAGTGGAGAACATCCAGAAAATGAAGATGCAACCCACACCTTGGTTCTTGGAGAAAATAATACAGGTTCATAAGCATCATTCAGTATTTCAGGATAAATCTTTTAATAGATAGGATTGTTTCCAGATTTTTAATTTCATTGTTATGTGAGCAGCATTTAAAATCATTATGATGTCATATTTGATACTCTGTTCCTAAGTTTAGACATGTTACATATGGGGACAATTGGTTAGTGGTAGCAGCATTTTTATTTCCTGTTTTGTTACGTAGCAAAGCTTTCCCTAAGACTTGATGTCAACATCCATTGTTGTCTACGATAAATAGACCAGGCAAACATTTTTGTGTTTTGCTCAATAACAGTGTCATATATTAGCCAAAAGACAAAAAAAATGTAGCTTTACATTTGAATAATAATCATCATTAATTCATTTTCAGATTTATGACATGATTCTAGTCCGTCACGGCCTTATGATAGTGGGCGATCCTATTGGTGGAAAGACGTCTGCTTTCAAAGCCATCAGTATGTCATTGGCAGACATGGAGAAGAAGAAACTGATGGAGGAGCATGCAGTAAGTGCCGCCATCTTTAGGCAGTTACTATTATTATTATTATTATTATATGTAGCTAGAGTCAAGAATCAGCAAGTAGGTTGAATCTTTGATTCTTTGTGGGATTTTAAAAATTTGAGCAGGCTCTTACAAAGCATAACAATAAAAAAAGACATTGTATAATTCTTAATCTGTTTTATCAAAATCTTTTATTTTCTCCATTAAAGGTCACATTCAGAATCATCAACCCCAAGGCCATCACCATGGGTCAGTTGTACGGCCGCTTTGACCCCATATCACATGAGTGGTCAGATGGTGTCCTGGCCAACACATTCCGAGAACATGCGTCCAGCACAACAGAGGACAGGAAGTGGATTATATTTGACGGACCAGTAGATGCTGTGTGGATTGAAAACATGAACACTGTGTTAGATGACAACAAGAAGGTATGGGGTGGAAATGTGGTCTTGCATTGTAATAACTATTTGAAAATAATATGGATTAATGATTAAAATTTTTAGATAATCTTACTTTTAAATTTGTGATGAATTTGGGGAACATATGATATGCACTTCATTTCTAATGATTATGGATGAAATCTAGCTGCATACTCAATATTAAATTGCAACATCTCACTGTTGTTCCTCTCATTTCTTCAGCCTTGCCTGAAATATGGTAAAACTAGCATTGTGATACCATCTAACACAATGCCACACCTATCACACTAACACATTGTCACATTACATATTTTCTCACCTAACACAATATGGACAACACCACTTTCTCAGTGTCTTCCTTTGCCTTCCAGCTGTGTCTTATGAGTGGTGAAATCATCCAGATGAGTAACAAGCAGAACATGATATTTGAACCTCAGGACCTGGAGCAGGCCTCTCCTGCCACTGTTAGCAGGTAATGTTCAAAACTTTGTATAAGCCCTATACATAGCAGGCCTCACCTGCCATCGTCAGTAGGTAATTTGTCCACATTTTTCTTTCACTCTGTACATGGCAATCACACCCAAGGCAGCTTGACCAACTTGACCATGTCATAGACATTACTGTATTTTTTTTTCTTTTTTAAATATTATGTTTTTCACATTCAGGCACTTTGAATGGAAGCACATTGCAAATAATCGATACCCTTTTTGCAATGTTATAAGTTTACATGTTTCAATTAGTGATTTTGAAAAAAGGGATTAAGGCACTAATGTTCTCACATGCCCTCCAGGTGTGGTATGATCTACCTGGAACCCATGCAGCTTGGTCCCGACCCTCTGGTCAAGTCCTGGATGGAGTATGAAATGCCACAGGACATCCTGAATAAGGAACAGAAGGAGTCCATTAAGGTAGAGACAAGACAGGAATTGTGTCAAGATGAGACTTTTGTCCCTTTGATTTGTTGTATATTAGATTTTAATTTATTTTTCCACATTTTGTCATTGATTATCATGTTTGTTTAAAGCCATCTCATCTTTGCCACAGAAATGTTTTCACCACAAACAAAAAGCATGGGATGAAAAATAAATCACAGACCCTCACTACAACCTAGCACACAAGATAATGTCAAACCACAGTATGTGAATCAACAAAAAAGCAAAGAAATAAATAAAACTCCCTGTGCATTTTTCTTTACCAAATGCCTTGTTTTATGCATTATTCTAATGTGAATGTACAACGCTATCTTAACCATTCTCACCCATCCCTTTAACCCTTTCAGTTATTATTTGAGTGGCTCCTTCCTCCCTGCCTCAGTTTTGTCAGCAAGCACTGTAAGCACTTTGTCCAGCTATCCCCGATGCACCTCACCAGTAGCATGCTACGATTGTACAGTTGCATGATGGAAGATGTAAGGTAGGACACTTTAAATTTATTGAGATGAATGAATAAATCTTGTCAATCCATAATATATAATTTTAAATTATGTTATCATTCATTATTGAAGTTTTAGACTTGTGCAAGCTCTCTATATAATTGCAAGGTGAAGTGATTTCATCCTATTTATACAATTTTTAGAAAACTTGGAGACGAAGAAGAAGAGGAAGACTTCATTGAAGAAGAGGAGGAAGAAACAACTGAAGATGGCGCCCCTGCTGCCCCAAGTTCAGAAGAACCAGCAGAAGCTGCATTCCCGCCTAGAAAGGACAAGTCTCTCAGTGATCAGAAATTGATAGAGGAGAGGTCAAATATGCTTTTCTGCCATTTCCTCTTCTCCATCGTGTGGTCAGTTGGAGCAAACTTAGATGGTCCTTCCAGACTCAAGTTTGATGAGTTTTTCAGGGAACTTTGTGAAATGGAAGGAGGGAATGCCAAATATCCAAGGTGAGCTCAAGAGACATTTCTCAAATAAAGAATATTGCTTTTAACTCACTTTTGCTATCATTCTCATAATATTATTACAAATTATATATTTTAATTGATTCATTTCAATAATCATCTGTGCCCTAAACATAACACAGCTATAGGACTTTGTCTCCTCAACTCAAATTATTTCATTTTCAGACCCAAAGAGTTAAAAGTATCCAGAAATCTCCTGTTCCCCAAGCGGGACACCGTGTATGACTACGTGTACCTGAAAACTCACATTTGCTCCTGGAACAGTTGGGCCACTATGATCCAGAATGTTGCCATTGCAGAAAAGGCTAAGGTAAGGGGGGTGGGACAAGGGCACCTGCTCAGATATTTTTTCTGCTTTTACAGTTGTTTGGGGCATTTGGGCATTTGCATTGGGCATTTGCATAGGGCATTTTGACATTTGCATAGGGCATGGGGTTATTTGCATAGAGCATGAGGCATTTGCATAAGGCATTGATTATTTGCAAAAGGCATTGGAGCATTTGCATGAAGGAGGTTATAGGCTTATCAAATTATAGAAAAGTTAATGAAGTGAAATATTTGCTGCTTCCACAGACTGCTGGGGCTGTAAAATGGGTTTAGATTGCCAGGGCTTTTAGCAAATTTGGAATTTTTTGCAACTGAAGCTTCTTGTTGAGGCTTTGCAAGGGTAATTTGTTAGAGTACTTGATTTCTTGTGGCACAGTATGTAATGATTTGTGCTTAATGCAAAGTGGCTTTTTTATATTTGTAAGTTCATAAAACTAATTGTATTTATGCAATACCTGAAATCCATATCCAGCTAAAAATTAAGTGATGGTTTGATTAAATTTTATAAATTAAAACCAATGTGTGACAACCCAAACATATGTTGTGAACCTGTCCTTAAAACAATACCCAATGATGTAAATAATGGATATTTGACATTATTTGAATGTCAACACAGTTTTCATTTACATGATCTTAAATTTCTTGTTGCATGATTCTGCCCCGTCCCTCCTCCTCCTTCTTCCTACCCTTCCCCCCCCCCCCCCTCTTCCCCCTCTCCCACTGTAGTAGCATGGTACTATAGTATATTGCATGCACGCCTTGTATAAGGCTACACTTTCTCATTGCTTGGTATGAAGGAATTATATACTGCATGCTTGCATCCTAGATATATGGTGTGGGCATCTTGCGTACCATTTAAGCTGCTGATAAGACAAATACCTTGTATTGGCATGTGTATTTTCCCTTTCTCTTTTGTGTGAATGAGGTATGGATGTTGTATGGAGGAATGTGATCACATTTCTAACTACCTAGATTTACTAACAAGATATTAATTTTCAGATCCAATTAATCTTTTGTCATTAGAAGATGATGCCACTAATTGTATGATGTCATGCTACTACTAATATGATGTCATACCACTACTTATGTGATGTCACTGCCTATGCGTGTGATGTCACAATTAAATATGATGTCACTGCTAAGTGATGCCACTCAAGTTTAAAGCTTATGCATTTGTTTCATAGACCATTTAATTATTAGAAATTAGCTGCTTATTATTATTAACAAAATTAGATTTTACAAATATATTTTCATTGATAATTGACTTTTTGTAGTTAAATGATTATTGGTTGCTTTTTCTATTAATTTTGGAGTTTAGAATTTTTAATGTCTCAGCTAATAATTATTCATATCATGATTTGCATTGTTTCTTTTTCATAACACTTCCTGTGTTTTTTAATTCACAGTATATCAAGGTAAATAGAATTATTAATAATAATTTCCTTTTTTTGAAAGATATGATGTACAGATGCTCAATTCCTCAGTTAATACATCATTTAATGTTGAAAAGCACTGTAGAAATTTAGATGGAACTTTTAACTCCTTTTCAAACTTTACTAATTGAGTTTAACTTTGAAAGTAAACATATTATATTTCTTGCAGTAGTAGATGATTCCAGTTGTTTTATATTTTGCATACATGGGTGTCTTAATTGCAGTGGAGTTTGAATAAACAGTATATAAATCTCTGTCAATGCAATGCGCTTTCCAACAGGTGGTTTCCTCACAAACACAAACATATTTCCACAAGGAACATTGTTGTGTACATACACAAGATCTTTTCAGGGGAACACTATATTATTAGCTCTTGTCGTCAGGTGACTGGACTGGTAAACTAGGCATTCAGATATCTAAGGGTCTCTTTATTATCACTTCAGAGCCTCAGGTGTTTGAGTTTCTGGTCTGTCTGTCTGGTCTCTAAGTGGCATTGTTGGTCAATTAATCATAAAAACTGTAATTCTTGAAAATTGAATGTTATAACATAAAAAAAGCACAGCACCACCAGGCATTTCTTTACAGTTAAAACAAGAAAACAAGACAAAAAGAGACAAAAACAAACTCTCAACTACAATTCACCCATGTTTGAGTATTTTGTTTCTGTAGACTAATTTTGTTGATTCACTGTTTTGTTTTGTGTTTTATTAACCCATAGGATGACTGGAAGCTAAGGACTATGGTAAGACTTGGAAGGTTGAGTGAGTGGGAATGGATGCATGATCAAATAATGATTGTACTTTGACTATATATTATATTGTCTGATCTTTACAGGAGATTTATTGTGCCAGTGTTGCATCATTGCTTTTGTACTATGACATTGGTGTTTTATTGAAATGCGTGTTTGAGCTATTCATTTTCATGACATTGGTGTATTGGATTGTGATGTTGTGCTTGGATGTGACAGCTTAGATGTGCTTTCTGAATGTGTTAGGTGTGACGTTGTATTGGATGTGGGTATTTTTGTGCACAGGATGCATATTGGTACATATACCCCTTTTTTGTATAGAACCGTTTTGAAAATTTTCCAAAAACAGATATGTATATATATTTCCATTCAAAATTCAACTGCCAAAGGTTAGAATATCAATCTTTGTTAAGGCAAAGATCCATGAAAAATAGGCTGCCCCAGGCTTTAGCTTGTTAATATCAGATTAGAAGTTGCCTCTCTCACTTTTTCCACATTTTTGGCAAATTAGGTGAATGAGCTGATCATCAACACGGTGGACACAGAGCGGCAGCGCTATTTTCTGCAGAAGTTTATTCATCAGAATAAGCCATTGCTATTTGTGGGGCCCACTGGGACAGGAAAAAGTGCCATCACCAACAATTTCTTGCTCCAGTTACCCAAGGACAAATACATCATCAATAATTTAGTCTTCTCAGCCCAGACATCGGCCAATCAGACACAAGATGTCATCTTCTCCAAGCTTGACAGGTGAGTTTTGATTGGTTTATTTGGCAAACTTTTTTTTTCTTGTCTGAGAACTGCTATGTTGGTTGCCTGTGTCACATAAAGTACATATATATATATATATACATGTGTATATATATATATATATATATATATATATATATATATATATATATATATATATATATATATATATATATATATATATATATATATATATATTTTTTTTTTTTTTTTTTTTTTTTTTGGGGGGGGGGGGAACTCTCATGTTGTGTTTTGATTATTATACAAGTGAAGAAAACCCATTTTTTTTTTTACATGTAATAACATATTTAGCAGTCCTTCTGAAAATTATATGCATATCTCAATATATGGAAAATTTATACCAGTTTAAGAAAATTTTAAGCATAAAGAATTATGAGGATATTATCTCTCCTCAGGCGAGGCAAGGGCAAGTATGGGCCGGCAGTGGGGAAGTTACTGTGTGTGTTTGTGGATGACTTGAACATGCCTGCCAAGGAGAAGTATGGTGCCCAACCCCCCATAGAGATCCTGAGACAGTGGATAGACCATGGATATTGGTTTGACAGGTATAGGATTATGAAAATCGTGAAAAATATAGCAGATATGTACTGGTTTCACCAGTTGGGATAAATTTATAAAAGATTGGATTAATATATTTTTAATTGTATTGTATTTCTTTTTTAAAATTTAATATACATATGAGTAATGTATATCAATCCACTCACCATACCCAATCAAAGTCTTTCTGAAAGTCTACTAACAGACAGTAAAAACCATCATGTTTTCTACATGGCTTGATGTTTATGAAATATAAAAAGGCTCTTTTTAAGGTACCTGGAGTATGAAGCATAAAGACTTTCTTTGTATGTATAGCACTGCTTTGGAAATATGGGTTTCCTCTTGGTTTATCCAAAAATGCTGGCATCTGGGTTTTTAGCAATCCCATGAGATTTCAAACTCCTATCACAATAATGAACAGTTAGCCATTTTTGGACGATTACTGCTACACTAACTATATTCCATTTTTTCAAACTTCAGAAAAGACACAAGCATCCTGGAGCTTGTGGACATCATGATGTGTGCTGCCATGGGTCCCCCTGGTGGTGGTCGTAACACCATCACCCCACGGTTCATGCGCCACTTCAACCTCATCAGCATTGAGTCATTCAATGATGAGACCATGATGAACATATTTGCCCCTATCCTGGACTGGCATTTTACCAGAGGATTTGAGACCAGTCTGAGGAGATTTTCAAGGGTAAGTTTTATTTAGTTGTAGCAGGTGGAACCAAGAATGATGTTTATAGTACAGCTTAAATTGCTGAAAACAAATTATTATTTTCTTATATTACAAAGTAAATGCACCCAGAAATTGTTTTTTTTTTTTTTTTTTTTTTTTTTTTTTTTTTTTTGTAAAATGATTATACTTTGGGTATTTTTTTCTATTCCTAAGACAGAGTGTTAATATTAATATGTCTAATAATAATAATATATTATTATTATTATTATTAATATGGCACATAAATTAACAGAAAATGTTCACTCAAAGAATGAATATAGGATACTTGAAAAAAGGAGATGATTCTTAAACTACATCAAATTTTGTATGTGTTACATTTGGAAAATACCATTATTTCTCCTTCCCTCCAGATAATGGTCCAAGCCACCCTGGACATCTACAAGCAGTCCATCAGCAACTTCCTTCCCACACCCTCTAAGTCACACTATCTGTTCAACCTCAGGGATTTTGCCAGAGTCGTACAGGTATAAACCAGTGTGGCAGCAGTAACTGGGTCAAAATGAGCAGAAAATAATTTTTTAAATTTTACGAGTACTTTCTAATTTTTACCTCTGGTATTATATGATAAAATTTAATACAATGCTAGTAGAATTGAATGTAATGAAACTTAAGTACTAGTGTTACTATTAAGTTGATATTATTTTTTTCTAAATTCCAGGGTATTCTCCTCCTCCAACCCCAGAAGTGTCCGGAAGGTGCCCAGGGGGCCCAGAAACTGACCCGACTGTGGGTCCACGAGGCGTACAGGGTGATATATGACCGCCTGGTGGACACTGAGGACAGGGACGTCTTCTTTAAGATGGTCAAGGTATGGTAATGTAGATTGCAGCCACTGTTTTAATGCGTGCCGAAAAAAAAGCTGGACTATCTTCAATGAAAAATAATGCATGTCAACTTATTCACATTGATGAAAGGGTTTTTATGTTGTATTTTAGGGTAGGGGTTATTTAGAAAAAAACACCTGGAAAAAAGCTTTCCTAATTTTTAGACCCCATTTCCATAGATTTTAGATCGATCTATCCCTGTGGGGAGTCTCACTAGATTACTGTCAGCTTAGCCGGCTTAAGCGTCTGTCCCGCCTACTGAAAGCTGTAAGGGGGTAATTAACTATGGTGCGCACTCGGCTGACTGCAATTTAGCATGAACCCCCAGGGAGTTAGGTCGATCTAAATCTTAATCTCTGGATCGATCTTAATCTCTGAGAATACACCCTTAGTCATTAGCACAAGGTTAAAGTGTTATCTAAAGATGCACCTATCTTTCCTTAACACAATTTTAAAAAATCTTTTAAAAACTTATATAAAACAAATCATTATTATTTTATTGCTTTCATAATGTAATATAGTGATATATGAGTATATTGAGCAACTTGAATATTAAGTTTATTTACCTTGTCTAAATGTAAATTGTCATGTTTTCTACAGAACACAGTAGAGAGTCAGTTCAAGGAAAAGTTCAACAACCTGTTCAGTCACCTGTGTGTGCCAGGAAAACAGGTGTGTGACGACGACCTCCGTAGTCTCATGTTCGGGGACTACATGGCTGAGAAAGAGGATGAGAGGTTGTATACTGAAATAGAGGACCTGGAGTCTGTCAGAGAGGTCAGTAATTGATTGTTTCTTTCATTTCAATGTTTAACTTTTGGAAGTTAGAAAGTAAGGGAAGAGGTCTGACGAATCAGATATAATGTGGCATGGCCAGTGTCCTATTTCCTTCTTTTTTTCTCCCTGTACAAAAATGGAAGAACAGCAATTTGTGTTGTGTTGCTCACTGCTTCATTGTTACAGACAGACTTTAAATGCATTCAATAAGGAGACCTTTTACTAGCACCACTGACTGTAAATTTTGTGATCAATAAAATAAACATATGTCAAGTACCTTTTATTTTTGCCTATGTAGACTATAGAGAAATGCCTGGATGAGTACAACCTGATGAGTAAGGCCCCCATGGACCTGGTCATGTTCAGATTTGCCATAGAACACATCTCCAGGATCAGCAGGGTGCTCAAACAACCCAATGGACACTGCCTGCTAGTGGGTAAGGAACTGTACTGTACATGTACCTCAGTATGTCAGAGATAAGAAATAAATCTGATGTCTTCTGTGAAGTTGTTGTTAAAGATTAGAACATTTTAAGATAGTATTGTTAAATAATTGTTTTGTAATTGAACAGCCGACCAATACAATGAGTAAATACATGTACTTTTGGCACTTTTATCGATATTTCTTGTATTTAGAAATGAACTATTTAGCTGCATGAAATAGCAGAACTAGAATTTTTTGTTTGTCAACTACAAGCTTTTATGCAACAAGAGTTTTTAAAATAATTAGATTTAGTAAAGACAAATTTAGTCTGCATTTACAGTTTACATGCTTTAAAATAAGCATACATTGTCATATGTACATAAATCTTTTGTCTTGTCTCCAGGTATTGGAGGCAGTGGACGCGCCAGTGCTACGAAACTCTCCTCCTTCATGGCAGACTACGAGCTGTTCCAGATTGAGATCTCTAAGAACTACACTGTCAATGAGTGGCGAGAAGACGTGCGTAAACTGATGACCAAAGCTGGCGTGGAAGGGATTGGGATCGTCTTCCTTTTTGGAGATCACCAAATCAAGGTACTGCAAGGGAGAAGTGATGTGATATTAATCTCTGATTTTCAATTTTTAAAAATTTTTGATGGAATTATAGCTGTAAAGTTGGAGTAAAATGGATAAATCAGAATAAAACAAACTGAGATTGGATGTTTTTCTTTCATTAACTTCTGAGCTTTGGTCCTTATCAATTATTCTGGACATTTGTATTTGCAATTGATATGTGTCGCAAGATAAAATTCTGTTGAATTCTGTTGATTGTTCTTTGATGCCATTTTAGGACATCTCTTTCCTGGAAGATGTGAATATGATTCTGAACACTGCAGACATTCCTAACCTGTATGAGAATGAAGAGAGGCTGGAGATCATTGAAAAAGTAATAAATCTGGAGGATTAAGCAAATTTTTGATAAAGAAATCATTTGTTAACTGGAGCAGCTATACTTTGTGCAAGCCATTTGCTTAGTTGTAATCTCTAAATGTGAGAAATCCATTTTTTAAGAACAAAATGTCAACAAATACAGTTTTTGAAAAAAAATATTGGATTTTTGGAAGTTACTTTACAAAGTGTCAATAACAAATTACTTGACTGTTCTCTTTCAGAAGAGCTTTATGGAACATGTTTTAATATGCATAATATGTTTCCTGTGTCTTTCAGATGCAGCAGTTGGCCCTGCAGGAGAATGCCATGTCTGAGATCACGCCACTGAACATGTATAACAAGTTTGTAGAGCGCATTCGCCGCAATCTCCACGTGGTGATCACATTCAGCCCCATTGGGGAGGCGTTCCGCAGCCGGCTCAGGATGTTCCCATCTCTCATCAACTGCTGTACTATTGATTGGTTCACTGTGAGTTGATGTTGTTGATGTTTTTTTTTTAAATTTCAATTAAAAAAAATTATTTGGGATGGGTGGGGGATTTTGATAGAACATATCTTGAATCTTATTTTGCTAGTTTTACACAAACCAAGTTTTGTTGTTAATTGATGTACATAATTATAATTGCCATACTGTCATATATGAAAATATATTTTCTAGCCCAATGCCAAATGAAAAAAAGGAACAAAACAGATTAGTTTCTTTGTCAGTTCTGAATATACATTTTACGTAAAACTTTTCTCAGCTTTTGAGGAAAACTGGATAAAAAAGCCCACTTTTATATTAAAAAAATAAAATATTTAATTTCAGGCCTGGCCTGAGGACGCCCTGGAGTTGGTAGCCAATCAGTTCCTGGAGGATGTGGAGATGTCGCAGGCAGTGCGCGAGGAGGCAGTAGTCATGTGTAAACACTTCCACCAGAGTGTGCGGGCGCTGTCTGAGAAGTAAGGATTTTGTTATGTAGTTTTACAATAGTTTTATTGTTATCATTATTGTATTGTTCATAAGAAATATAATTAGCACAGAAATGTCAGAAGAGAAATATCTTATTTCACTGTACAGAATATATTGCCTGACCTGTTCTATATTTTTTTCCGTTCCTTTTTTTATTAACAATTTACAGTTGCGTCTATTTTAGAACTGGTTGGTGTCTTTTACGCATTGTGCTCCACTGAAAATTTAGCACCTTTTAAATTAGCATAATTATGATTTTTTTTACATTTAAAAATTAATACATTTACTTTAGGTATTATGAGACTATGCAGAGAAGAAACTACGTCACCCCAACCTCTTACTTGGAGTTGATCAAGACGTTCAAAACCTTACTGAACAAGAAGAGAATGGAGTTGCTCACTCTCAAACAGCGCTATGTGATTGGATTGGAAAAGCTGGAATTTTCTGAAAGCCAGGTTTGTTGAATAAAAATTGTCAGGGTTCACTGGGACTCATAATTCAGCTGCTACTTAATAATTTTGTCATCAAATCAGAATTTGATATCATTTTACTCATAAATAACAACTTATTTTTAATTTTTGAAGTGTTTTTAGTTTGCTAATTATCTTCATATGCTCAATAAAGTATCATGTCTTTGTTTTTCTTTGTGCAGTAGCTGTTAATAAATTTTTGATTAAGTCTTTTTACCTTAACAAAACCACCCAATATATTGTTCTGTTTCACTCCAAGAATAGTACCAGCATAATGTTACAAGTCAGTACACTAATTTTCTGTTATAAACTCTAGATCAATGTAATGAAGCAGGAGCTGCAAGAACTGCAGCCCATGTTGATAAAGACGAGTGCCGAGACAGATGACCTTATCAAGGTCATAGAGACGGAGACGGTGGAGGTGGAAGCCATTAAATCGGTGGTGGCTGCTGATGAAGCTGTGGCCAACAAAGCTGCATCAGAGTCACAAGCCATCAAGGTATGGAGCAGGTCAATTAGTATGTTCGGGATATATAATTCACACACATGTATAAATGCACACAAAAACAGTGTTCAAAGACATTTTGTAGAAATGCATTTAACAAACATTAAAAAACATATCTGTAATAAATATTAAGTATATGATAGCTGTGTGGTGGTATTGTACAGATGATGTATATAATATCTCAGTGTTCAAATGAATTGTATCTTTATTGTGTGAATGTATTTATGAGGGGAGAAATTAAATTTAATACAAAGGTATTTTTTATGTAATGAAATATGAAAGTTTAATAATTGGTCAAATGAATTGGACCCCCAAAACTTCTTATTACAATTAAAATGTGGACTTTGGATATTTACACTATTTTTACCCTCTACCTTCGAATATTATAGGATGAATGTGAGGCCAAGTTGGCGGAGGCCATGCCTGCCATGAATGCTGCTATAGCCGCACTGGACACTCTGAAGCAGAATGACATCACCATCGTTAAGTCCATGACCAACCCCCCGGCTGGAGTGAGGTTGGTCATGGAGGCCGTCTGCATTATGAAGGTCAGCTGGAGTGACATTATATTTATACTGACTAGCTGAGCTATTATGATAACTTTAGTTTCCTGAAAGCCTTCTAATTTCAGACCAAGCAATTCTAGAAATTGTTAAAAAATTCAAGAAAACTTAGAAAAAATATATGCAGCACGTAATGGGTGTTGCACAAACCACGTGGTTTGGCCTGATAACAAATATTTTAAAAAATTCACTGGTAAATACATGTATTAGGAAGTCACACGAAAAAAGAGACACTCACAACAATAAAAACAAGACAGAATACTGCTGTAATCTTGAATTCATTATTTTGGTAATTTGTCTTCATTAAAATGTCTTAATTTCTAGGGTCAAAAACCAGACAAAACTCGGGACCCCAGTGGAAAGACTGTGGAAGATTACTGGCCAGTTGCCAAAAAACTTCTGGGAGACCTGAAATTCCTGGAATCTCTCAAAGTTTATGACAAGGACAATATACCAGAGGCCACCATGAAGAAAATCAGGAAGGACTACATGAATAATCCAGAGTTTGACCCTGAGATCATCAAGAAGGTGTCGTCTGCTTGTGAAGGTCTGTGTAAATGGGTCAGGGCTCTGGACACCTATGACCAAGTGGCAAAGGTATGATTGCAGATTTTTCATGATTGATGTTTTAGGGTTTTTTTTCATGGCAAGGGGTATATTTTTTCATCGAAGAATGTAAGTTGTGAAAAATATTAAAACTCTGTGACAGTCATTATTAGAAAATACATTTTGATAATGGGTTATTACAAGTTGATGAGACACAATGTAAAAAATTGAAGTAGATGTACATTGTGTCCTTGTCTTTAATCTGATTCATCATGTCGTTTCAACCATGCACGATATAGAAAGAAGTATTTATTTTTATAAAAATCTGTATAAGGCAGAGGGTATTCACAGGGATTGATTTTTAAGATCCACAATAGTCATATCTTTATTTAAATTTTGAATATTGTCGATTTAAATGAAAAAGGTGTATTTATTATAATACATATCATTTTGTAGGTTGTTGCCCCCAAGAGGAAGAGTTTAGAGGCTGCCCTGGCTGTGTATGATGATCAAATGTCACAGTTAAGACAGAAGCAGGCAGAGTTGAAGGAGGTCACAGATAAACTGGACAAGCTCAATGAAAACTTGGACACAAAGATGGAGGAGAAGCAGGTGAGAGGTTTTTGGTGATTGTTGAAGGAAATTCTTGACCAATTCATTAAATATAAGTTAATACCAATATTGATATTTTTATGCTAATATGAGTTTTCTTAGTGGTTATATATCCTTCGGAAGTGTTAAGTGGTCAAGTATTGACAGGCCTTGTTAAAATCTTTATCTTATTTGCAACATTATCTTATTTGCAACATTCCTTCTACATGTAAATCTGTAATTTAGAGTGGCTCTCCAATAAAGTAAGTCAGCAATTTCGGACTACGCCATCCCAAGTTTTGCTCACTAAAGCTCACAGCTACACTCATCATACACAACAAATAAATAAATGCTTCTTCTTCTCGTCTCTTCTAGAACCTGGAGAACAACATAGAGCTGTGTAAAGTAAAGATCATCAGAGCAGAGAAGTTAATCAGTGGTCTGGGTGGGGAGAAGGACCGCTGGACACACAATGTGGCCAACCTCTCGGACACCTATGATAACATTGTGGGAGATGTGTTGCTCTCTGCTAGTGTGGTGGCTTACCTGGGACCTTTTGTGCTGTCTTATAGACAGGTAGGGTGTGGATGGGGAATTTTTTCTCTTTATGGAGGATTTTCTCACTTTTTGTGTGAAAAATGGAGTTCTAAAGCTACCACTCTATAGTAATGTTTAAATTTTAAAACTTTTGACTAAAAAAATTCAGCATCCCATTCAGTAAAATTATCTAATTTTCCCCTTTGAAAGGAGTCATTACCATAGTTGGATATTGAATATCTTTTCCAGTGTAGGTGTGTTGGCCAATTCTATTGTATTTATAGCGATAGCTTTTCAATCTATTACTATTCATACTGGTGCTTTTCTATAATATGTTAATATATGTGTTTTTTTCCCCTCAGAGTTGTCTCAAGGAATGGTACAGCATGTGTAAGGCCAAGGGTATCCCTCTCAATGACAACTTTTCTCTGTCCAGTACCCTGGGGGAACCAGTCAAGATACGAGACTGGAATATCGCTGGACTGCCAGTGGACAGGTACTGGGCAACAGGTTTTATCTGCTTTATAAATTACATTAATTTATTGATTTTGGTACAAGTACATTTTTGAAGCAATAGCTATGTGGCCCACTAAAAAGATACTGAATTATGTTTCAACAAAAATAGAAATAAATTAAGTTGATTATTAGAATTAATGGATTAACAGAAAGAATCTTTTATCAATGATATTGAATAAAATCAAATATTTTATGAATGCATGAATTTCTCTGCTCATGAACATTTTAGTGAACTTCACTTATCAGAATATTATGATTTCTGTTGCTCAAAATAAAATTAACAATTTGAATTAGCAGATAATGATTATTGAAAGGAAATACAATGTACGGTTTAACAAACCCCCCTCTGTCTCACCCTTAGTTTCTCTGTGGACAATGCCATCATCGTGATGAATGCCAACCGCTGGCCGCTGATGATTGACCCCCAGGGTCAGGCCAACAAGTGGGTCAAGAACATGGAGAAAGCCAACAAGATAGCTATTGTGAAGCTGTCCAATCCTAACTATATCAGGACCATAGAGAACTGCCTACAGGTATATATCAAACACTATCCTTATCTTGACATAAAGAGAACTTATTTTTTATTGTTTATACATGTATATGTATTTGATATAAATAAAGGTTTTGAGTCCCTGATTTGATGTGATTAAATGAATTGGAATTGTGTAAATTAGGTAGAAAGTTCAAGATGGCATCTTTTCATTGCAGTTAATTCACAATACAATATTTAACATTTGTAAGTTTAATGGTGCTGTGTTCTTTCTTATTAATTTTTGTCAGCTTTGCTCTGGATTATTATTATTATTTTATTATTTCATTTCTTTGGTATCTTGTTATATTATTATTGTTATATACTTAATTCCAGTTTGGCAACCCCTGTCTCATGGAGAATATAGGAGAGGAACTGGACCCTGTCTTGGAGAGCGTGCTACTGAAGCAGACTTTTAAACAGGTAACTTGGAGTAATGTATGTAAGAATGACTTGATTTTGATTGAGGAAATAAAATTTCAGAAAGAGCTCAATGCGATAGGAGAGGTATCTAAGCAAGTTTTGTTGTTATTGTTTTCTTTCAATTTTCATTTTGGAATTTCCCTTTTTCAGTTGAAATAAGTGGTCCTATATAAGGGTATGATGTTATATTTTGCAAGGGTAAACTTCCTGGCTATAAACCTGATTCTTAATGTCATGTCATTTCATTACCAGAATGGAGTGGACTACATCCGCCTTGGTGACCATGTGGTGGAGTACAGCAAAGATTTCAAGTTCTACATGACCACAAGAATGAGGAATCCCCATTATCTGCCTGAAGTATCTGTCAAGGTAAATACCAGTTTATGGTTGGTGTGAGAATATGATGTTCCGTGTTGTTTTATTACTGTAACAGATATGTTCTATTTTTTTTCTTTGCTATGTCAAACATTATGGCTATTCTATTAATTAATATGTTATGAGATCATTTTAATTTATAAGAAAATGAAAATGTGACCCCACCATTTAAAATCCATAATAGACAAAACCATGCTATCATTGTTAATTGGTAAATCTTTTTATATCAAAACAGAAAGTCACAGTTATTAAATCAGTATTTTCTCCACACCAGGTGACCCTCCTGAACTTCATGATTACCCCAATGGGTCTGGAGGACCAGCTGCTGGGGATTGTGGCTGCCAAGGAAAAGCCAGAGCTGGAGGAGAAGAAGAACCAGCTGATTCTGGAGAGTGCCCACAACAAGAGGCAGCTCAAGGAAATTGAGGACAAGATTTTGGAGATTTTGTCAACTTCTGAGGTTTGTGGGACATCTTTGTAAAAACTTAAGTGCATGTCCATGAGAAAAACCAGCACAAATGGGGAAAATGTAAGAATGTGGACAGGGGTCAATGAATTTATACCATTTTTGGTGTGTTTGATAATATGTATGAAGAATATCTGATGCTGTGATATTTCCTTAACCAAATGCCTACTAACAGAGATATGACTAGTGGCTTGTTTGAGGGGTAAATCAAACAGGACAATTGTATTACAGTATATATGAATGTCACCAAGTGATTTATAGTTTGGTCATAAATTATCGCTTAAATATTCCACTATTATTATGTTCCTAGCTGCTGACCAGTTGTTAGTGATATTTTTAGATGTTAAAATTCACAAAGATCATCCTGTTATAATATTTCAATGATATCTTCCACCAGGGTAACATTCTGGAGGATGAAACGGCCATCGAGGTGCTGTCCTCAAGCAAGGTGCTCTCCGAGGAGATCTCCATCAAACAAGAAGCCGCCACCAAGACTGAGAAGGAAATAGATGACGTCAGGAATGGATATAAACCAGTGAGTTTAGGGTTGATCTTCATCTTATAAAACTGAACTGACTTAGTGATAAAATCTGGAATCAGCTTCCCATAAAGTTTGTTACAGATTTTCTATGAGCATGCAGTTAATTGCCAGGAATTGTGTCTGTAATGAATTTGAGTTTTTATGCAAGTTAACAGACAATCATTTTGTTCATTATTAAACTTGTAAAATCAGTCTTACAATCTTTATCATTTATCTTCGGATTCTAGTAAATGAAACAGTTAAACCCAATCAGAGAGTTGACCACAGATAATACGTTGTAACAATTTTTGTCTTTCAGGTGGCAAAACATGGCAGCATTCTTTTCTTCACGATCTCAGACTTGGCCTACATAGATCCCATGTACCAGTACTCACTCACATGGTTCATCAACCTCTACCTACAGGTAAGAAGGTATTAATGGATACTGGATAGTGATTCATCAATAGTTTAATATCTTTTTGTAATTTTTTATCACTGAAAGCCTTTGCAAATTCATACAATTGGGTATAAAAGCAAATGTCTCCCTTCTTACGTATTTCACTTGAGACAGATCTTGTGAAGAAAAGACTTTATTTTTGATATTTGAAACCAAAAGATTCAGTAATTTATGAAAAATACAAGGAGATATAGGAAGTTATTTTATTCTTTTCCAGTCAATTCACAACAGTACCCCCTCGGAGAACCTAGAAGAGAGAATAACCAACCTCTGCGATCACTTCACCTACAGTATCTACCAGAACGTCTGTCGCTCCCTGTTTGAGAAGGACAAGCTACTGTTCTCCTTCCTACTGTGTATAGGAATAGCCAAGGGAGAGTAAGTATTAAGTGCAGCATGATAGATTTGATAATGAAGCTGTGTTGACTTTACAGTTTGTACATAAATAGTAGTCCCAAATACCAGTCCGTTCAGACAGAAATATGTAAGAATGAAAATGAGATCAGTTTTTGTTTTCAGATTTAATTCAGTTGCATTGCTGTAGCCCAAAACAGTTGTTATCAAAATAGACCCATAGACAAGACTTATATTACCAAAAAACTATTCACAGGGATGCAGATATATATTGCATCCTTGTATTTTATTCACCATAAAATCTTATAAATGCTGTATGATTGATGCTTCTTCATTTTGCTTTCAATTATGAGTCAATTAGTTACCCTACCTGAGAGTATACAAACATACATGTTACAGTGCTAGTATATTCAGTTAATCAAAGAAGTAGACAATTATCCTCTCTAAAAATCTTTTAAAGTTATTTTGCAACTTGAAGACCATGCTTAATACTTAATTTCAAATATATGCTAGATAATTGTCTTGACAGTTCCTTATATTTGAAGCCGAAATGTATGAATGCCCCATGCATCTTTTTTACCTTACTGTAATTATTTATTGCTATAGCATAGTGGTGGAAGGACAGTAAGTGTTTGGATATTGTTGGTGATCATCTGTGATATTCTGTTTATTGGTTGTTTGCAATGGAACTGAAATTTCTTTATTTGTGTGTGTGTGTAGTTCATAAAAATGAATACACATATTATTTGACAATTTGAAAAAAAGGATATATTAGGCTTGTTGCTACCCTTTCTTAACTGTCTGTCAATATTCCTGTCTACAATGTTTATTTGTGGAATCCTTATTTGCTTGTGGTCTGTTGCTTGTCTTATAGAGCGTGCTTGGACTTTATACTTTGATGATATCCCAAGGGAACAATGTCTTGTCAAATTATTATATTTGACCAAAACATGAATTTTGTTTGACTTGACATTGCTTTTAGATGTCACAATATCTGTTCACCAACTCACCAGGGGACTAATTATGTTTAAAATGATTATATAAATTATATAATGAAAAGAGCATTATTGTGTTGTGCACCACATTCTTGTGTAGATCTCTGTGGACTGTATTATTAATTAACTGAGTGGAATATCAGGCCTGTAGCCAGCAATTTTAGAAAGGGGGGGTTCTTTTCATGAAAAAGTGGACCTTTTACGAGGAAACTTTTGTGTACCTAGATCAAATTTTACCCAGAATGGACCTTTTTCTAACAAAAAATGTGGTTCTTTTGAACCCCCAACCCCTTCCCTGGGGTTACGGGCCTGAATATTCTGGTGCAGTGGTAGCAGTTCTGGTTTTAAAGGAGTGTGTATCTCAAAGTCTCTCATATTGTTCATTTTAATTGAGTGGCCTGTAAAAGCTGCCTGCCTATTGTTTGAGGTTTATCTATGAAGAAAGTCACATTTAAACATTTTGCTGATTTATAACATCTGGGATGACTAATTGTAGTAGATTAAAGTAATAACCAAAAAATAGTAATGCGATGGTTAATAGTAGTTCTTAGCATAGAGCTTAATTTTTTATGTCACACTCATTAACAGTTTAATCATTAGACAAAATTACTAATAATTAAGAGAGCACATAAGTGGGTGTCTTTTTCTATGGCTCAAATGTGGGGTGTCCTACTTTCATTTCCTCTATTTGGATTCAAAGACTGAGAATGTCTATTTCAGGGGTGCAATTGATGACCGTGAGTGGCGGTTCCTGCTGACAGGGGGTGTGGCCTTGGAGAATCCCTTCCCAAACCCTGCCTCTGCCTGGTTGACTGACAAGGCATGGGCAGAGGTAGTCAGGGCATCTGATATACCAGGTCTAAATGGATTTATGGATCATTTCAAGAAAAATGTAAGACCTAGAGGAACTTTTCATTAAGCAGAAAATATTTCAGTATATACATTTCTTTATATCTTATTTTAATTGCATTCTGCATGACAGAAAAAATTACAAAAAAATACAGATAATACATAAAATTTTTAAAGTAACATTTTAAAAATCCTATGTATAGAAATATCCCAAGGGGGACAATGTTAATTTAAGTCAGAATATATTTAAAGCTATTATTTTCAATGACATTTTCTATCCTCCCTAGGTTACAGAATGGAAGAAATTTTATGACTCTGCCACCCCTCAGTCTGAAACCCTTCCAGAGCCTCTAGATAAACTGACCAAGCTGCAGACTCTGATTGTCCTCAGGTGTTTGAGACCTGACAAGGTGGGTAAAGTGGGACTCAATCAGGGGTGGGGTTGGGGGCCAGGATAGGGGGTTCAGGCTGTGATAGTATTGGGCTGTACTGGTCTTCTCAACTGAAGCCATTGGGTCTGTTTCTTAAAAAAGAAGGCTGAATGTAAAGAAATTCTAATTTTAATAATTATTTCTGCGTTTGTTTTTTATTTATTTATTTGATTTTGATTTATTGATATTTTGATTTATTTATGTGACTTCTACCATCTTTTTTATTTATTTATTTATTTATTTATTTATTTATTTATTTATTTATTTATTTATTTATTTATTATAATTATTTTTTATTTATTTATATTTACTGCATTTAACTTGTTCTTTAATAAAATAGAAATTTTATTGCAGATGGTCCCAGCTGTCAGTAACTTCATAGTGGACCGTATGGGTCACCAGTACATAGAACCTCCAACATTTGATCTCTCCAAGAGTTACGTTGACTCTAACAGTTCCTCGCCCCTCATCTTCATTCTCTCACCTGGCGCGGACCCCATGGCTGTCTTGTATAAATTTGCCGAGGAAAAAGGTGAGTGAAACCATTTCTAATAGTGTTTCCAAAATTGAAAGTTTTTTTTTTCAATTAGAAATTATTATCAGTAATGTGGCATTTATTTCAAAGGTGAAAAAATTATATTAAATTATCAAGTCTTTCATTTCTTATTGCATGATAATCATGTAATTGGGGTAAAAATAATTTGTCCAGATTACCATGTGTTTTGAGCATGTTTGTTTTCCAATAATCCACATTAAGGTTTTTATGCTGCATGGGATTTAGCATGCTAGATTGTTGTGAATGCTAGAAGTCGGTTATAGTAGCAACCAGTCCAACCTTATCATGTTTTTATATATCAATAACTTTTTTAAAACTGGGTTATTACAGTGGATAAGCTTAGAGGGTGATGTCCACTGAAAGTGAGGACTTAAATATGGAAATGGCCAACTTGCTTTCAAACTTCAGAGAGATGAATTGTTTAATTTAATTTGTGATTTTTTGTTTTCCAGTTATTTATGGGTTAAAAATTGAACAAAATTTTATTTTTTAACATATAAGTTAATATTGTACTCATTTTTGTTAGTATTTGTTCCAAGAATGAATTATTTGAAAAAGGAGTTTGCAAAAATATATATTAGCCCAGGTTGTATTTTAATGGAATTAAATCTTAAAAATAAGAGAATGAATGAAAATGATTTCCTTTTCTCAGGAATGATGGGGCCAATTGCAGAAGGTGATTTTTGTTAGAAATGTTTCACAATTTCTTAGAACTTTACAGCACCATTTTAAAATTAGAATATTATTATTTTAACATCACAGGAACACACCTCTCAGAGTGAAAATGTTTAGATGTTGATTTTATTTTGAATTTTAACATCACAATTCTCTGATATTAGTGGGAATGCACTTATGAAAGTGTAACATGGGCAGCAAATGTGGAGTGTATGTCTGCACAATATTATCTCTGTATATAACAGTCTTCCAGAGTATTTATCACTGAGATTCACTGCTGAAACTAACACAGGACTTTGAAAATTGACTATTTTATCTGATATTTCACAGATACTGATAACATTATTGTCAAATGAATGACTAGGTGAAGACTTATGTACCCAAACATAAATGCAAAAGTACCTATTTTTTACTACAGTTGATTAAATTGTTTCTTAAATTATTGCATTATTAAGAAATGATAACCATACATTCCAGTATATATCATGAGAAGCATGCAAAAATTTTACTTTTTGTTATATTACTCACTGGCCTGACCCCCCCCCCCCCCCCCCCCCCCCAAAGTTCCAAATACTTTCAACTATAACTGTATTGATCATTTGGGGTTCTAACCTGTGTTGCATTTCTTTGTAACTTTTCAGTAATTTTATGACTGACTTTTAACTGTTGGTGCTGTGTCTATTACTACATTTATATCACAAATCTGCATTATGACTAAAATCTAAAATGTATGTTTTATTATTTGTTATGTAACACCTGTTCATTCAGTGCATTTCACTGTATTTCAACGTACACCTGTATCTTTTGAACTCATTTCATTTTGAATACTTTTGTCTTTAATTTGAATACTTTATACACATATTACTGAACTTTTTTTTGCTGTGTTTTATTAACTGTTTTTTTTTATTTATGTGTTTACTATTGATTAATTATCTTTACCTTGAAGTCTGTTTATATCTGTGTGCAAATGGTAATTTATCAAGCATTGTGCTCTGTCTGCTAAATATAATGCAGCCAATAGCAACAGGTTTCCAGGGGGATCGATGCTATTTTTATTTATGCAAATTTAAGTAATCACTTCTCTTCTTTTTGGAAAACTGTATAAATTGCCACTTTTATATTATTATAATTTTGGGTTAATGGGAATTTTTTATGTAGCATTATGTTATTATGTCACTTGCCAGTGAAAAAAGGTATTATGTTAAAGATATTCATTCTTTAAGAATAAATAACAGCAATAATTTAAGGCAATGAAACAAAAAAGAGAAGATTTTAAAAAACTAAAACTAAAATCCTGAAAGAATTAGAAAAACTCCATGGAAACCTTACATAAGAATGCCAGCTAAGCATGATAAAATTATCTCAGTGCCGTGCTATTTACTAACAATGGCATGTTATGTCTCTCACGTACAGGAATTGTCCCTCCGCTGCCGAATCCTACAGAGGCTGAAACCCCACGAGCTGAAAGCTCAGGCCACAAGACCTGGGAAAAAAGTTTTCGTAAACTGTCTATGGCCCTGGGGCATGAGTCTGAGGTCCAGGCTCACCTTAGTCGTATGTTCCACGTATAATATGACACACTAGAGGGAGGCACTTGTGCGTGAGACTGCTGGGAATAGCTTTTAAGGAACAATTTTTTTTTTAATATCAGAGATGTATGGAGATAATTATTTGGAATAAAAATCTCCATAAATATTTTAGATATAAACAGGGGAATTATTATTTCCACTGCTTATGGAATAACTGAAAAGTTGTAAGTTCAAGTTGTAAGTTGCCAGTAATTTTAGCTTGGGTTGATTCCTGAACATTCTCAGCAGTTTGACCAAGGTCGTTCCCATATTTTATTATTATTACAACCAAAGCTTATCGAGGCTTATTATGTGGTTATGGGGTTTTCATTATTCATTAATATTTTTTTCAATTTTAGTCCAGTTGATGTACTCAATGAAATAAACAATATAACATGTCAACGATTCAACCCCATCCTTTCTTCTTCCCATTCAAACTCAATTTTTCACTTCATTAAACTTCTTTCATAAAGAGGTTTTTCCATTTTCTATATACTTATATTTAATATTTATGTAACATATCTGCATATCTGGCTTGCAACTGGAATCAATTTCACAAAGTAATCATATGACTGTAATCCCACCTAAACCTGCTAAACTGTGATCATCACAATTTAGCATCTTTTCACCATTGAGATCAGTGACGATACAGTTAGTTAAAGAATTTGATCTTTTTGGGGAAATGGAGGTAGTTGTCCCATATGTTACATGTACCTGAACATTGCAGCTCAGCTGCTGAAAGACTTAGCAGGCTGGGATGAAAACAGTCAACCAATTCAGGCTTTGTGAAATGGGGCCCCTGCAGTAGTATGTCTTCTTATGAGGAAAAAAGTAGCTTTCTTGTCTCATTTAAATACTTGCTGCTCATCATTGCTTCTTTGCATGATTATCTATATGCAGGCTATTGTTAATACATACTAACGTAATATCTTGCTTAGTATATAACTGCATAACTTTATATGTATCTATTTCATTTTGTTTTCTCTGACGTGGTTAATGAGGTTGCAAATATCCACAAAAAAAATTAAATAAGTTTTTGGCATTGAACATGACCAAAAAAAAAAAAAAAAAATCAAAATGAGTTTTCTTTTATCAGGGGAGGGGAGCATACTTCATAACCCTAAATTCCATCTTTTTTTAATTTCATTTGATGAATTACATGCGTACAGTAAAGGAAAATGCACTTCATGTACCATACGAGAAACTAAATCACTTTTGCATGTTCAGTATTTTCTGGTCCGTATACTAAGAGGTATATTAGAGATGCCTGTACATATCCAGCACTATATTTGCCAAATAATGTCGCACTCGGTAGAAGCACCAGGTCATATTTTATTAGATTTTATTAGTCTAGAATAGAGTAGTGCATGTTATAGTAATTTTTATGTATTTTATTTATTTTTATGTATTATTTACAGGTTTAAATATATATGAAAAATGTTGTCAAAATGGTTTAATGTGTTTTGTCAACTATGCCCAAGTGAATGTTTTTCCATCTGCTGAAACACTTTCATGCTATAGTTTGTTTAGAGGTTTTTGTGTTTTGATATATCAGTAATGTTGAAGTAAACATTTATTGATCTTTGTGGGCTATGAATAACTATAATAATATATTAGAAATTAAAAGCTTAAGTCATGTGCTTTGATAACATTCTTCTTCATCCATTGTAAACTGTGTCTTTGGTGATTGTAATACACGATCACAAGTAATGGCCTTTATAATTATGGTGTGTCAAATTTTTATACATATTGTATATATAAACATGTTGATATACCCAGCAATCGGTCCATGGTTTGGATAGATGATAGCAAAGACCAGGGGATTGCTGTATTACGCAAACATATTATCACCGATGTCATGTGGTATTATTACAGGTATGGGTGGCAGTAAGCTTCAGACAATCTCTCTAGGTCAAGGTCAAGGTCCTATAGCTGAGAAGATGATACTGCAGGTATGGGGAGTATGAGTGTGGTAGAGAAGATGATACTGTAGGTATAGGGAGAGCGAGTGTGGTAGAGAAGATGATACTGCAGGTATGGGGAGTATGGGTGTGGTAGTAGAGTGCCATAGCTCATGGGCGTGCAAAAATGCAACATATATGAGAGGATTCATTTCCAGGCAAAATTTGCTTTTGACACAAATTTTTTCCAGGGGCAATGCATGTTGTGTCAATTGCTCTGTTAATTGTTGTTTCTGCAATTAGTTGTTAACTAACAGTTGGCAATAAATCTACAACTGCTATACAGAACCATCATTATTTCTCTATGCCAGGCGGTGGAAGCAGGTACGTGGGTGGTGCTACAGAACTGCCACCTGGCGGCCTCCTGGCTGGGAGAGATGCAGAGGATTTGTGAAACTGTGAGTATAGATATCTTCTTGCTTAAAATATGACGGACTCAGACTTTAACATTCTCATACAAAACAAGGGTCTCCTGGAGTTTTCTAAGACTTCTTATGTTTTCCTCACTTACCCATCTTCATTATGAAATCTTCATTTTGTTATTTCTTCTCAACCAGGTGATAACAGACAGCAGCAAGACCAAGCCCAGTTTCCGGCTGTGGCTGACCAGTTACCCGTCTCAGGACTTCCCTGTCTCTGTGCTACAGAACGGGGTCAAGATGACCAATGAGCCGCCCAAGGGACTGAGGGCCAACCTCCTCCGGTCATACCTCAATGACCCCATCTCTGACCCACAGTTCTTTAACAGCTGCAACAAACCAAAGGTAAATAAGGTTGAGTGTGATAGCTGGGCTTGATTGTGTTAGATGTGACAGAGCAGATTATGACAAGTCATTATGGCAATGTGTTAGGGATGAGATCACAGGGATTGTAAATTATTGTATTAGCTGTGACGGCACAAAGACTGTCATTTGATGATATTTTTATTCTTGGTTTGACAGTACATAATTGCTTAATTTCATTCTGTTATTGCTGACAGTTCAGAGTTAATGGCATTTGATGCCCAAAAATTTATTTGCATATTTGGCAAAATTTGAACATCTCACATATCCAGTTTCCTGACTTTTTAAAAAATATTCTTTATTAGTGTCTGTACTAGAAATCTAATGAGTTCTACATGCTGTTTTCTTGAAACATGCAGAAAAAATACCAAATATATTGTGAGTTTCAGAAGTGTTCTTCTGTAGAGCTTAAGATTGTGTTGTAGTTGGATAAAAATATGTAGAGTAAGGGCTTAACAATGATCAATTTTGTTTCCCTAGGTCTTCCAGAAGCTGCTGTTTGGTCTGTGTTTCTTCCATGGCATAGTACAGGAGAGGAGGAAGTTTGGACCCCTGGGGTGGAACATACCCTATGAGTTCAATGAGTCTGATCTCAGAATCAGTGTTAGACAACTTGTGGTAAGCAAACCTTGTATTTTATACAATAGAGCAGTTAGCAGAAGTGATTGAGATTTGCTGTAAAAACATGACTCATGGCCACTGTTTCACAAAAAAACCTAAAAAGCTTAGTTGACTATACTTAGCAAGTTGACTTACCACAGCTGACTACACTGTAGCCAACTATGAGTGTTTCACAAAGAGTAAAAGTAAAATTCTAGTGTCACAAAGAATCTAAAATTTTAAAAGCTTGTCTATTCACAGCCATTTTGACATACAAGAAAAAAACGCAACGTTCTTAAACATGTTGAGTTACATAAAATATTGTTTTTGTTTCAAATATTCATTTTTAAATCACATAAAAAGTAAATTGTATTTAATCCTTTGTTATTTTTATGAAATTTTGCAAATTTAATTAAATTGTAATTTTCCTCATCCCAGATGTTCATCAATGAGTATGAAGAGCCGCCACTGGAGGCACTCATCTATCTCACTGGAGAATGCAACTATGGCGGCCGTGTCACAGACGACAGGGATCGTCGCCTCATCAAGAGTCTGCTTCAGATCTTCTACTGCAAGGACATGATATTTGATGACAATTACAAGTTCTCAGAGAGCAGTCTATACTATGCACCAAAGCAGGGAAATTATGAGAGTTACCTGGAATACATAAGGAGCCTGCCATTGCTTCCACATCCAGAGGTTAGTTTGCACTGTAGAGGGCTGATCGTTATAAACTGTAGGGGGCAGTAGTGTTGACAAAAGTATCTAAAGAGTTAAATGGTGTCATGCTCCCATGAAATGTCAGAATATTTATATACTGGTTTATTGCGATGATCTAAAAGTTTGATTGGGATAATTGGCAGAAAACATACATGCTTAAAAGATTAAGAAGTTGTGTTCTGACTGAGAGATGGCTTTTTTTCCTCAAGGTGTTTGGTCTTCATGAAAATGCAGACATTTCCAAGGACCAACAGGAAACGCAGCAGCTATTTGATGGGATCCTCTTGACGTTGCCAAGACAGGTAAGAATGACAGAGAGGTGTGGCTTTCATTTGAAATGAGAGATGTGATTGGCTGGTTACGTATGTTACTAGTGGGTGGGATGGAATGAATTTTTTTCCGCTGTCAATTTTGTTTTTATGCCTTTTTAAGACACTGCCATATTATCATATAGTTTGTAGTATATCTATTTTTTAACTTATCTTAATCAATTTATCTTTTATATTCATATTTTTTTACTTTATTTTTATGTTATTAACTATTGGTGTTTTAAATTTTCTTTTTCCAGATTTCATCATTTTTAAATGTTTTGTTTAATCTTAAATTTTTAAAGTTCACTGTACATTCAGTTGACCCCAGTTTCCATATTCTTTGTTTTACAAATTTTCATATTATTTTTCAACTACCTCTGTTGATAATTCCCCTGTATTCCAATTGCGTTTCAGGACCAGGTTAGACATTCTGTGCATATTGTGTGAAAGTGGTATCATTGTGTGCTCTCAGACTAAACTATTGCACTTTTGATGTCTGTGTGACTGAAATACTAGTTATATCATTTATATTCTAATTTGTATAATAATTGCTAGGCCAGGGAGTTCTCATTATAAACGTTTTAAAATTTTGGCAAGGGAATGAAAAGATGCTGAAAAGAAGTTGTTCATAGTTCATTTATAAAAATCATACATTTAAAATTTTTTTGAAAGGTGAGTGGGCATTGAATTGGAAAAATTTGCTTTTGAAGTTGTTTATGAAAATCATTTTAAAAAAAGTCATTCATATAGTCACATATCAACAATTTTTTTCACTTTTATATGATATTTTTTCTGAAGTAGTGGTCATTTTGTTTATGTGTTAATTTCTAGCCAAACTCCCCTGAATATCACATATTTCTCCTTTCCATCTGTTATTTACGTATACTCCAAGTGGACAGAATTAACCTTTTCGGCAAGAACTAAAGAATTTGACAACTCTAATCTTTGATTGGAGGCACCTTCTTAACTTTTAGTATCCAAAGAATGTGTTTTCTCATGTGGTGAACCCTTAATGTTTATATGGCACTTGACTTCCTGTTGAGCACTTGTAACATCTTATTTGCTAGCAGGTGATTGACATAGAACGCCATATGTATTCAGTATATCCACGATAATATCACTGACTTACATGTTGTTTATTATTAACTTATTAACATTTTTTCATAATTTCATTTTCAATTTGATCCTTTCTTTCCTGAAGCAATTCTCCTGAGAAATTAAGGGTGCAAATGATTAAATTTTCGTATTTTGAAAAAAAAGAATCTTGGTGCTCCATACTAATCATTTCAGATATTCTTACTTGAGAAAATGAGCTGGATTGAAAAGGTGTTGGTCACTAATTGTTTGAACACATTTTTCATTCTTTACACTGCAATTGCTAGTTTAGTTATTTAACATTAAACCATTAATCCAAAACTAATTTGCAAATCACTAATATTTTGTTTTTTGAATTTTGTAAAATTTACTGCTAAATAAAATCTTATTCTGAATTAAAATACTTTTCTAAGCTTGAATATACACATATTTTTAAAGCAGTAAAATGGTGATGGGAAAACAACTTGCTTTATGGTACATATACTTTAGTATTCAGCAGTAAGTAGAAGTGTATTGGACATATAAAGAGTTGGAGCTCATTGGTGTTGGTGTCGTAATGCATATCTTGAACTTTGAAGTTGTTGCTTTGCATGGCCATTAGTATTAGACTGAAAGGGAACATTTGAATGAAGAATGTTTGCACTCACACTTGCAAATCTTACAGAAATTCTCCTTGGTGTAAATTGGAACTGTGTGTATTTGCGTTAATTGGAACTGCTTGTACTTGTTCCACAGAGTTCTGGAGGTGGGAAGACATCTCAGGAGATCATAGAAGAGCTGGCCAGTGACATCTTGTCTAAGATCCCTCCTGACTTTAAGCTGGAAGAAGTACAGGTGAGGTGCTATGCAGTACCCTGATATTATAACATGTTTAATACTGTTATTTTTTACATTTGTCATTATTGTCACCTCAGTAAAATGGTTCTGTACTTCAATACTAAATAAATTCAGCTCATAATTTACTGCTGTATAAGGAAAACATACATGTAGGTCAAATTTTTCTACAATCTTTTTAACAAATATGAGGCTGTAGTAAAATTGAGCTTGAACAACATTTATTTTAAAATTATAATTTAACNCTATGACACACTGGAGGGATGCACTTGTGCGTGAGACTGCTGGGAATAGCTTTTAAGGAACAATTTTTTTTTAAAATATCAGAGATGTATGGAGATAATTATTTGGAATAAAAATCTCCATAAATATTTTAGATATAAACAGGGGAATTATTATTTCCACTGCTTATGGAATAACTGAAAAGTTGTAAGTTCAAACACATTTTGTTTTGCCAGTAATTTTAGCTTGGGTTGATTCCTGAACATTCTCAGCAGTTTGACCAAGGTCGTTCCCATATTTTATTATTATTACAACCAAAGCTTATCGAGGCTTATTATGTGGTTATGGGGTTTTCATTATTCATTAATATTTTTTTCAATTTTAGTCCAGTTGATGTACTCAATGAAATAAACAATATAACATGTCAACGATTCAACCCCATCCTTTCTTCTTCCCATTCAAACTCAATTTTTCACTTCATTAAACTTCTTTCATAAAGAGGTTTTTCCATTTTCTATATACTTATATCTAATATTTATGTAACATATCTGCATATCTGGCTTGCAACTGGAATCAATTTCACAAAGTAATCATATGACTGTAATCCCACCTAAACCTGCTAAACTGTGATCATCACAATTTAGCATCTTTTCACCATTGAGATCAGTGACGATACAGCTAGTTAAAGAATTTGATCTTTTTTGGGGAAATTGAGGTAGTTGTCCCATATGTTACATGTACCTGAACATTGCAGCTCATCAGCTGCTGAAAGTCTTAGAAGGCTGGGATGAAACAGTCAACAAATTCAGGCTTTGTGAAATGGGGCCCCTGCAATAGTATGTCTTCTTATGAGGAAAACAGTAGCTTTCTTGTCTCATTTAAATACTTGCTGCTCATCATTGCTTCTTTGCATGATTATCTATATGCAGGCTATTGTTAATACATACTAACATCATATCTTGCTTAGTATATCACTGCATAACTTTATATGTATCTATTTCATTTTGTTTTCTCTGACGTGGTTAATGAGGTTGCAAATACCCACAAAAATAAATAAATAAATAAATAATTTTTTGGCATTGAATATTTAAAAAAAAAAGATCAAAATGAGTTTTCTTTTAGGGGAGGGGAGCATACTTCATAATCCTAAATTCCATCTTTTTTAAATATCATTTGATGAATTACATGTGTACAGTAAAGGAAAATGCACTTCATGTACCATACGAGAAACTAATTCACTTTTGCATGTTCAGTATTTTCTGGTCCATATACTAAGAGGTGTATTAGAGATGCCTGTACATATCCAGCACTATATTTGCCAAATAATGTTGCACTCGGTAGAAGCACCAGGTCATATGTTATTAGATTTTATTAGTCTAGAATAGAGTAGTGCATGTTATAGTAATTTTTATGTATTTTATTTATTTTTATGTATTATTTACAGGTTTATATATATATGAAAAATGTTGTCAAAATGGTTTAATGTGTTTTGTCAACTATGCCAAAGTGAATGTTTTTCCTGAAACACTTTCATGCTATAGTTTGTTTAGAAGTTTTTGTGTTTTGATATATCAGTAATATAGAAATAAACTTTTATTGATCTTTGTGGGCTATGAATAACTATAATAATATATTAGAAATTAAAAGCTTAAGTCATGTGCTTTGATAACATTCTTCTTCATTCATTGTAAACTGTGTCTTTGGTGATTGTAATACACGATCACAAGTACTGTAATGGCCTTTATAATGATGGTGTCTCTTTGAGAAATTTTATACATATTGTATATATAAACATGTTGATATACCCAGCAATCAGTCCATGGTTTGGATATATGATAGCAAAGACCAGGGGATTGCTGTATTACACAAACGTATTTATCACCTATGTCATGTGGTATTATTACAGGTATGGGTGGCAGTAAGCTTCAGACAATCTCTCTAGGTCAAGGTCAAGGTCCTATAGCCGAGAAGATGATACTGCAGGTATGGGAATTGTGAGTGTGGTAGTTAAGTGCCATAGCTCATGAGTGTGCAAAAATGTAACATATGTTATATATAGCATTCATTTCAAGGCAAAATTTGCTTTTGACACAATTTTTTTCCAGGGGCAATGCATGTTGTGTCAATTGCTCTGTTAATTGTTGTTTCTGCAATTAGTTGTTAACTAACAGTTGGCAATAAATCTACAACTGCAATACTGATCTATGGTTATTTCTCTATGCCAGGCGGTGGAAGCAGGAACATGGGTGGTGCTACAGAACTGCCACCTGGCGGCCTCCTGGCTGGGGGAGATGCAGAGGATTTGTGAAACTGTGAGTATAGAAATTTTGCTTAAAATATGATGGACCAGACTTTAACATGCTCATACAAAACAAGGGTCTCCTGGAGTTTTCTAAGACTTCTTATGTTTTCCTCCCTTACCCATCTTCATTATGAAATCTTCATTTTGTTATTTCTTCTCAACCAGGTGATAACAGACAGCAGCAAGACCAAGCCCAGTTTCCGGCTGTGGCTGACCAGTTACCCGTCTCAGGACTTCCCTGTCTCTGTGCTACAGAATGGGGTCAAGATGACCAATGAGCCGCCCAAGGGACTGAGGGCCAACCTCCTCCGGTCATACCTCAATGACCCCATCTCTGACCCACAGTTCTTTAACAGCTGCAACAAACCAAAGGTAAATAAGGTTGAGTGTGATAGCTGGGCTTGATTGTGTTAGATGTGACAGAGCAGATTATGACAAGTCATTATGGCAATGTGTTAGGGATGAGATCACAGGGATTGTAAATTATTGTATTAGCTGTGACGGCACAAAGACTGTCATTTGATGATATTTTTATTCTTGGTTTGACAGTACATAATTGCTAAATTTCATTCTGTTATTGCTGACAGTTCAGAGTTAATGGCATTTGATGCCCAAAAATTTATTTGCATATTTTGCAAAATTTGAACATCCCACATATCCAGTTTCTTGACTTTTTAAAAAATATTCTTTATTAGCGTCTGTACTAGAAATATAATGAGTTCTACATGCTGTTTTCTTGAAACATGCAGAAAAAATACCAAATATATTGTGAGTTTCAGAAGTGTTCTTCTTTAGACTTAAGAGTGTGTTGTAGTTGGATAAAAATATGTAGAGTAAGGGCTTAACAATGATCAATTTTGTTTCCCTAGGTCTTCCAGAAGCTGCTGTTTGGTCTGTGTTTCTTCCATGGCATAGTACAGGAGAGGAGGAAGTTTGGACCCCTGGGGTGGAACATACCCTATGAGTTCAATGAGTCTGATCTCAGGATCAGTGTTAGACAACTTGTGGTAAGCAAACCTTGTATTTTATACAATAGAGCAGTTAGCAGAAGTGATTGAGATTTGCCGTAAAAACATGACTCATGGCCACTGTTTCACAAAAAACCTAAAAAGCTTAGTTGACTATACTTAGTAAGTTGACTTACCACAGCCGACTACACAGTACAACTATGAGTGTTTCACAAAGAATGTAAAATTCTAGTGTCACAAAGAATGTAAAATTTTAAAAGCTTGTCTATTCACAGCCATTTTGACATAAATGACAAGAAAAAACGCAACATTCTTAAACATGTTGAGTTACATAAAATATTGTTTTTGTTTCAAATATTCATTTTTAAATCACATAAAAAGTAAATTGTATTTAATTCTTTGTCATTTTTATGAAATTTTGCAAATTTAATTAAATTGTAATTTTCCTCATCCCAGATGTTCATCAATGAGTATGAAGAGCCACCACTGGAGGCGCTTATCTATCTCACTGGAGAATGCAACTATGGCGGCCGTGTCACAGACGACAGGGATCGTCGCCTCATCAAGAGTCTGCTTCAGATCTTCTACTGCAAGGACATGATATTTGACGACAATTACAAGTTCTCAGAGAGCAGTCTATACTATGCACCAAAGCAGGGAAATTATGAGAGTTACCTGGAATACATAAGGAGCCTGCCATTGCTTCCACATCCAGAGGTTAGTTTGCACTGTAGAGGGCTGCTCGTTATAAACTGTAGGGGGAAGTAGTGTTGACAAAAGTATCTAAAGAGTTAAATGGTGTCATGCTCCCATGAAATGTCAGAATATTTATATACTGGTTGATTGCGATGATCTAAAAGTTTGATTGGGATAATTGGCAGAAAACATACATGCTTAAAAGATTAAGAAGTTGTGTTCTGACTGAGAGATGGCTTTTTTTCCTCAAGGTGTTTGGTCTTCATGAAAATGCAGACATTTCCAAGGACCAACAGGAAACGCAGCAGCTATTTGATGGGATCCTCTTGACGTTGCCAAGACAGGTAAGAATGACAGAGAGGTGTGGCTTTCATTTGAAATGAAAGATGTGATTGGCTGGTTATGTTACTAGTGGGTGGGATGAAATGAATTTTTTTCCGCTGTCAATTTTGTTTTTATCCCTTTTTAAGACACTGCCATATTATCATATAGTTTGTAGTATATCTATTTTTTTAACTTGTCTTAATCAATTTCTCAGAGAGCTCTTTTATATTCATATTTTTTTACTTTATTTTAATGTTATTACCTATTGGTGTTTTAAATTTTATTTTTCCAGATTTCATCATTTTTAAATGTTTTGTTTAATCTTCAATTTTTTAAGTTCACTGTACATTCAGTTGACCCCAGTTTCCAAATTCTTTGTTTTACAAATTTTCATATTATTTTTCAACTATCTCTGTTGATAATTCCCCTGTATTCCAATTGCGTTTCAGGACCAGGTTAGACATTCTGTGCATATTGTGTGAAAGTGGTATCATTGTGTGCTCTCAGACTAAACTATTGCACTTTTGATGTCTGTGTGACTGAAATACTAGTTATATCATTTATATTCTAATTTGTATAATAATTGCCAGGCCAGGGAGTTTTCGTTATAAAAGTTTTAAAAGTTTGGCAAGGGAATGAAAAGATGCTGTTTTCTAAGTTGTTCATAGTTCATTTATAAAAATCCTACATTTTAAAGAAAATTTTTGAAAGGTGAGGGGTATAGAATTGGAAAGATTTGCTTTTGAAGTTGTTCATGAAAATCATTTTTTAAAAAGTCATTCACATAGTCACATATCAATTTTTTTTTACTTTTGTATGATATTTTTTCAGAAGTAATGGTCATTTAGTTTATATGTTAATTTCTAGCCAAACTCCCCTGAATATCGCATATTTCTCTTTTCCATCTATTTTTTATGTATTCTCCAAGTGGACAGAATTAACCTTTTTGTCAAGAACTAAATAATTTGACAACTCTAATCTCTGATTTAAAGCACCTTCTTAACTTCTAGTATCCAAAGATTGTATTTTCTTATGTGGTGTACCCTTAATGTTTATATGGCACTTGACTTCCTGTTGAGCACTTGTAACATCTTATTTGATAGCAGGTGATTGACATAGAACGCCATATGTATTCAGTATATCCACGATAATATCACTGACTCACATGTTGTTTATTATTAACTTATTAACATTTTTTTCATAATTTCTTTTTCAATTTGATCCTTTCTTTCCTGAAGCAATTTTCCTGAGAAATGAAGGGTGCAAATGATTAAATTTTCGTATTAAAAAAAAAAAAAAGAAATCTTGGTGCACCATACTAATCATTTCAGATATTTTTACTTGAGAAAATGAACTGGATTGAAAAGGTGTTGGTCACTAATTGTTTGAACACATTTTTCATTCTTTACACTGCAATTGCTAGTTTAGTTATTTAACATTTAACCATTAATCCAAAACTCATTTGCAAATTACTAATATTTTGCGTTTTGATTTTTGTAAAATTTACCACTAAATAAAATCTTATTTTGAATTAAAATACTTTTCTAAGCTTGAATATACGCATATTTTTAAAGCAGTAAAATGGTGATGGGAAAACAACTTGCTTTATGGTACATATACTTTAGTATTCAGCAGTACGTAGAAGTGTATTGGACATATATAAAGAGTTGGGGCTCATTGGTGTTGGTGTCGTAATGCATATCTTGAACTTTGAAGTTGTTGCTTTGCATGGCCATTAGTATTAGACTGAAAGGGAACATTTGAATGAAGAATGTTTGCACTCACACTTGCAAATCTTACAGAAATGCTCCTTGGTGTAAATTGGAACTGTGTGTATTTGCGTTAATTGGAACTGCTTGTACTTGTTCCACAGAGTTCTGGAGGTGGGAAGACATCTCAGGAGATCATAGAAGAGCTGGCCAGTGACATCTTGTCTAAGATCCCTCCTGACTTTAAGCTGGAAGAAGTACAGGTGAGGTGCTATGCAGTACCCTGATATTATAACATGTTTAATACTGTTATTTTTTACATTTGTCATTATTGTCACCTCAGTAAAATGGTTCTGTACTTCAATACTAAATAAATTCAGCTCATAATTTTCTGCTGTATAAGGAAAACATACATGTAGGTCAAATTTTTCTACAATCTTTTTAACAAATATGAGGCTGTAGTAAAATTGAGCTTGAACAACATTTATTTTAAAAATTATAATTTAATTATCTATAGCAATTGGTTTTAATGCTCAAACTTCTAAATCCCCAGGCCAAGTACCCAGTGAAATATGAAGAATCCATCAACACAGTATTGCTACAGGAACTGATCCGCTTCAACCGTCTCACCTCTGTGGTCCGACAGAGCCTGATCGACATCCAGAAAGCCATCAAGGGCCTGGTTGTGATGTCAGCAGAACTGGAGGACGTATTTGACTCCATGATGGTCGGAAAGCAGCCTGCGATGTGGGCAGCCAAGTCGTATCCGTCTCTCAAACCTCTTGGGAGCTATGTGGCAGACTTGATAACCAGGCTGCAGTTTTTCAAGGTATGAACTAAATAGGTTGGCATTGAGGTTGTGATGATTAAGGCACGTGCACCTTTGTTTTTACTTACCTTTGAATTCAATTAACTTTAACTCACTTCTTTTACAAGAAAGAAAAAAAGAATGAATATAAGAAAATAATGTGTAGTGTGGTGGCTTTGATGGAGAAAGTTCTACAAAAATAAACTGTTTTTTGATTTAAAGAATATACTTGGAAAATTTCGTATCTGAGGGAATGACTTTCAATATGAATGTGCTACTTGCAGTAGTGGCCACTTATTTTATCAATTATTGAATGGATGAAAGACTTATAAGTAATTGAATAAGTAAATTGAATTCAAAAACAGTTAAATTTATTCATCATATCTCCAGGACTGGATCTACAGTGGTCCTCCTGCTGTGTTCTGGCTGTCTGGTTTTTACTTCACCCAGTCTTTCCTGACTGGAGTGACTCAGAACTATGCCAGGAAGTACCAGATTCCCATCGACCACCTGGGCTTCCAGTTTGAGGTGTTGGATGAGGAGCACACCATGAAGAGCAAACCTGTGAGTACCTCATGGTTTTCTTTTTTCTAATACGCTCCTGTAATCACCAGCTTGTCTGTATTCTACTCATTAGGTGTGTCAATCTTTTAATCTTGTTCAAACTACCTTGTACATTAGTTTCATTGTGGACACACCCTTGGAGCAAATGTCTGTGAGAATCAAATATAGGGGGCGGGCACAGCTCAAAAATGGATTCCCTTTCAATTTTGTCCAGTGAGAGTCCTTGGGAACAAATCTCAGTACGTCATTACAACCATGGTTCCTTGCAGTCAACTTCTCGCCTTAAAAAGGTCATTATAGGGTTATTCTTGACAGCTGTCAGAGAACCTGGGTTTATCTATGACAGTGTTGCTTAGTTTTGTCTTCATATATGAGAATCTTTATAGAATATTTGGAGTGTAGTTACGGTGGAAGAAATATCTCTCTGTTTTGCAGAGTAATGGTGCCTATGTGCGAGGCCTGTTCCTAGAGGGTGCCAGGTGGGAGAGGAAGACCAAGACGATAGCAGAGTCCTTCCCTAAGATCCTCTACGACACTATGCCTGTGGTATCCTTGAACACACAGTGATTTATTAAAATTGAATATTGCACTTTTGAATTTCATGGAAGAAATTTGGCAAAATTCAGATTTTTTTCCCCAGGAACCACCCTTCTGATATGGTTCAATTTACCTTTTTAAGTCTTTTCAGACATTTAACCCTAAGTCAACCTCTGCCATATAGTCTGCAATAATCTACCGTATGAAGAAAATAAGTCAGCAGAGGTTTAGTATAAATTTGAATAAATTATCAGTAAAAAATATTAACCACATACTTGTGTCTAAAATTTGTAATAATGTGATCAAAACTCCCAGTATGGAGGCACAATATATGTAGCATAACCCCATCTGCTTTATGACCTTGACCTCACCAACAGATATGGTTGAAGCCAGGAGAGAAGTCCAAGTTTCAGGAAAGCTTATCGTACACCTGTCCAGGTAAAAAAAGGAATCATTTATTTATCACAGCATCTTTCTCTTTGACATTTTTAATAGCTGGAATGAGAGTATATTGTTTGTTTTAATTATGAATTGAATCTGCAGGATACATCTTGCAAATAAATATGTAAATAATTTTTTTTTATTTAATTTGTGTCAAACTGTTTTTAGTTCTATGTAATCATCTTTGATTATTTAAAAAAATAAGAACAGAAGATTAATCATATTGTTCAGTTTCAGTAAAATCTCCTAATATTCTGTATGATATCTGTTTTGTCCAGTGTACAAGACCAGTGCCAGAAGAGGGACACTGTCCACCACTGGTCACTCCACAAACTACGTGCTGTCCATCCAGCTGCCCATTGACAGTACAGAGAACCACTGGATTAACAGGGGCGTGGCACTGCTCTGCCAGCTGGACGATTAATTAGAGGGAAAAGTTGGGTAGAGGGTACCTGTTGTCTCCCAGAACAACTACTAACTGCTAGGAAACAAAGGAGGTTAAGAGCAATATTAATAAATTGTACTATATGGAACTTTAAAAACTTAAAGGCTGTCCTCTTTGATTAAGTAAGAGGTTAACCCACAGGGTCCTCATAAAAACTTCACTAGGGCAGTAGAAGAGAGAAATATTTTTTTATTAATGTGAAATGCAGCATTGAAATGTGTATGTATTATTTTTCTTGATAATCGTAAAATGTGAGCATTTCTTTACAATGGAATTTGTATATTTTCTATTAGAGGTTTTTTTAGTATATTTTTATCAGCATGTAAATTTATATGGACATTGTGTATGTATATAGATAGACTTTGTATATAAAGAGATTTTAAAAGATATACCACCATATTCTGACTGTGATGCTATTTACCCGTCCTATTATTCAGACCCACAAGGTATTATGATAATCATAATTTATTATAAGTAGATGTGCATATGCATTTTTTGTTACTTTTTATATAATATTTTGTAATTCAAACTGTCAGCTGTTGCTCGCATATCTGCTCAATTTGTTGGTGTTTTTAAAGTGAAACTTTTGATGTTGGAAAATGCAAGGTAAAAGCTATACAGTTATCAAACACATTTTTGACGAATTTTTAATGTATATAATAAATGACATTTGAGGTAGTGCTCCTCATTTCACTAGGGTGTTCCGTACTTGTCATTGGATTCAGTGTTCATTTACATTTAGGCAATCAGTGTTAATTTGTTACAGTTAGTCACATATCTTATTGTACTGTCACATTAATTAATTGACAAATCAAATAATTTTATTTTTTGTGGATTTTGCACATAGTCAGTTTAAAAAAGTATCATTTCACATTTTCCAATAGTCGAACAAATCATTTAGCTACACTTATATGTAGTGCTACCAAGAGTCAGATTTTACATTCTATTTGTAGTTTTTTTTTTTTTTTTTTCTTTTTTTGCTTTTCTAGTAATATATTCAGGTAAACCCATGACAATCATCAAGCGGGTACAAAGGCAAACAGAGTCAGTTTGTAGTACCAAAGATAAATCGTGTTGCATTAAGTACAAGGTAGATCTTCTGTATGGACCCTTCCCCAGGACATAGTATACTACCAGAATTCAGAATTCTTGTATTGATTTTTTTTTAATTACAAATGGTCTTACTCTCTCTGTGAAAAAGTGATCTTTACATTAAGTATTTTGTAAATTAAGTTGGGGGAATGAGATGTTGAAGCATTCATCTTTCAATAATATTTTGCTTTATTCTGATTTAAACTCACATTTTTATTTCAAGTTTAATTTTTTTTTTTCTTTTTTTAGAAACAAAATAATTAAATTTAGCTGAATTATGAAAACCTGACGTATCTTAGCATTTGGGGACATTTGATAGATTGGTGTTGCTCATATTCAGAACATTCCTGGGAACTTTTTTTTATATAAGAGGCAACTTAAGTTATTATTATTATGCCTTGAATAGGGTTTTGTTAAAGAGGATGAAATTGTGAATATTTTCAATATGCAGCATTCACTGTGCCTTATTGTTTCTTAGAATGAATGGTTGTGAAAATAATTTGATAGCTCTGAGCTCTCACAGTCTGTGCTGAGTACGTGTTTTTCACATCAAACTTGTTTTTGTCGAAGTGGTCGTAGATTGTACAAAATGCCAAAGCTATATGGCAAAAGGAAAATGTCTTCTCTTGTAGATTAGGCTGTAATACATGAATAAAGCCATATTTTCAGTAAAATGCGTCATGACATGTTCATTAATTTTCTTGAATTGAGGATTCAAATGTGGCGCTCAAAACAATTAGTTTGTTTAAACAAAGTGAACAACAACTATGTGTGCAATCTGGTTTCCCTTGACATGAATAGAAATGACCTAAAGAAGAATACACACAAGTGATATAAATGTTTATTATATTAAGCTAAAAATCTAGACTTTTAAACAACATGTTTACAGTTACAAAAAAGCATTTAAATTGAAAAAAAAATGTTCCTTCATTTCACAAGTGATTCTGAAGAACTACAATTTTGACAATCCATTTTGTACCAATATTTTCGATTTGTCAACTTGAATAAAAGACTTTCTAACGTTATGTCCAGAGGCATCCTAAAAGTCTTAAAATACCTACATAATTTCTCATTTTAGACCAAAGAAGCTCCATCTGACATCATACATAATGCCATAATAAACTTTGACATGGATGTACAAGACTAACTTGTAAATCTTAAAAACTGTAAAAGAACCGACTTACTTTGCTGACATTATATCAAACAAACATCAACTTAAACATTTAACACATTAACATTTTCAATCCTGGGTTCATAAATCTTTACACTTTAAAAAAGAAAATGCTTCCATCTGTTTTTAACAAATAAAATACACATGCATTCTTTTCAAAATCTCCTCCCACTTTAATTTTAGATCCAAAGGAATGCCCAAAGCATAGCAAGTTATTGCAAAATGTCCATTTTCTCTTCTTTTATTATCATATGGAACACATTGTGACCACATTTTGTGCTCTTCACTCACAAATCCTACACTGCAATATCTGCTAGCAGCTCCCCCTATATTGTCTGCAATGTGACAAGTGGCTCCACCTATTCAGCTTCCATGGCATAATCTGTGAGATCCAGTGTCAACACTTTGCTTACTATACACTCCCCTTGCTGGAAAAGGAAAAATGGTAACAAATTACTAAAAAATTTGCACTTTAATGATGAATTCTGTATATTTACTTACCAAAAAGAGAAAAGTTATCATGGTAAAAATTACAATTTAAGATATACAACAAAGATATTAATTTTTCAAACTACCCTTTTACAAAAACCCGAGAAAAATTTATGGATGAATTTTCTCTCTCCTTCTGTTTGAAGGAGACAGTGATTTCATTCAGTGATCTCATACAATATCCATCACTCAACATTCATTCTACAACTAGCGCCACAGAAGTTCTCCATAATGTTTTCAGCCTTTGCCAAATTACACTGATGACAGTAAACATTTCCAGTCCCCATACCTCTGGGTAGATTCCCACCAAGGCATCAGCCTTGTTATAGAACTCCTCCTTCAGGGAGATCACTATACACTGGAAGCTGCCCTCTGACTGGTCCTTGATGTACTGGGCAACCTGAGGAGAAATATGGGAACATATTGTTAAACTATTAAACCCTTAACAGGGATGGCTGAATCTGACCGATTTTCTTCACCATTACAAATCTGATTATGTGTGAAAGAGCGCATGTGTTTTCATTTAACAACATCATAAATATTGGGCTGTATTATTACATTGCAGTTTGGTAATCTTCCTATGAAATGGAACAAGAGGTTGCAATCTTAATGAAGGTTTAACAAGAATGCAACAGAAACCTTGCAAAAGACAAGTTTTTTTCCCCTTTTTGAAGGTTATATTACAAAAAACTTATTAATCTGAAATATATTCACTCTCCCCCTTACTTTGCCAATATTAGTATTATCCAAAGCAGCATCAATCTCGTCAAGCACAAAGAATGGTGCTGGTTGAAAACTGTGGATGGCAAACAACAGCGCCAGGGCTGCCACTGTCTTCTCTCCGCCAGACAGGTTGTCCATGGGACGGAACCTCTTCCCTGGCGCCACACAGTTATAGTTGGTGCCGTCCAGGTATGGCTCCTCGGGGTTTTCTGGACCAAGGAATGCCTGGGCACTCTGGTTCTTTGATAGTGCCTGGTGAAAATGGGATTATTAAACACATTAAACAGCTAGTGCAGCAAAAATTCTACAAAATGTTTTTAGGTAATGCCTCAGCACTCTGGTTCTTGGACTAAGCCTGGAGCAATGGGAACAAGTGCAGAGAAACTTGTCATTTTTAGTTGTTGTTTTTTTTTTTTTTCATAAAAGCTGAATTAAGTAAGAAAGATTTATTTCGTGGAAAAACCAAGTTTGAGGCATGTAGGAATGTTAAACAACTTCAAGTAACAGTCAAAACTTTATAATTCTTTTCTAGATGGGGGCTGAAGATGCTGCATTTTCCTCTGTCACAATGAAATGAGTATTATATAGTATTACATAAAAATATTATAAATAACAATCATCCTTTAACCTTGGTCTAGATAAAATGTTTTGAAATCAGAAATGTTCACATTTTCTTTTTTCAAGTTATGAAATATCTTCTTATTAATGAATTTACCTTGTAAATTTCATCAATCCTGTTGGACACATGTTCGAAGCATGCCATGAAGCGATCATATCTCTCCTTGCGGACTTTCTCAAAGGCTTGTTTGGCTTTCTTTGCTCGGCGACGGGCCTGTTCAAAATCTTCTGAAGTCTCATGGAGCCTTTCCTTCACACCATCAAGTCTGAAAAATACAGTGTAAAGAGTTATCTTACTTATAAAAACATTTTAAAACATTATGTATTTACTTAAGTTTTAAATATCAGTATCTTTATACCATGTAAAGCACAGAATAAAACAAAAATAATCTTAATTTCAGATATAAAAGGTTCCATAAAATTCAAACAATTGTACTGTTTCGTAAATTTCTTCTTCGAAATTGACTTACTTCTAACTGTCAACTGGAAATATTGATTTCAACTGCACCAATATCAATTAAATAAGCATTAAGCAATTTCTGTAAATTTTCCTTTAGTAATATAATAATCCTTACTTCTCCATAGCCTTCATATTGGGAGCATTGATCCTCTGAATGGTGTTCTGCATATCTGCCACTGCTTTCACCATAGAGTCATGCTTCTTCTTGATCTCATCAGACTGCACCAGCTGAACACACAGGAGAACAGGGATTTAAAATATTAGTCACTTGTGTCATCAGTTAAGACAAAAAACAACACAAAGGAGAACAGGATTTTGAAATATTAGACACTCAATTAGTTATAATGGAAAGCAATTTTCATGTGAACAATTAAAATGAATTGTCTCTAATACCCTTATCTTAGAAATTGTCTAAAAATGTTAATGTATGTTTTCACTTCATTAAGGCTAAAAAAAGTACTTTCAACAGAATAACATTACATTTTGGCCTTGAGCAATGGTCACACATGTAAGAATTCCATTGGAAAAAGTCTCTTCACTTCAGATTCATAAAATATTTGGGAAATCAACCTAATGAAAAAGAAAAAAAAAATTTTTCAAAGCTTTGACCCTTCATAAAGCAATCCTTACATCCAGCAGGTCCTCGTCCAGCATATCGTAGTTGACCAGGATCTTAGCCTCCTTCTCGTAGATGGCCTTGGCACCCTGGCTGCTCATGCTGTCGTAAGTGGTGCTCTCTCCTGGTTCTGCCTGACTGGACGTGTCCGCGTCCTGGGTGATGTCATCCATCGTGCCCTGCTTTAACGGGAGTTTGATGTCCTCCATCTGGAAGTGCATGGATTGTTTATGTTAGGTTTGCATTTCCTTAAGTTCATGGGTAAAAGCTGTAAAAACTAAAAATCCTGTAGCTTGCAATTTCTCATCGCATTTAAACCATATGAAAAAACGATCAAATTGCAGACTGAAAATCCCAAAATCAGTCGTAATCCTGTAAACTTTCACCCATGCTCAAGTTGCAGTACACCTATTTTAGATTATTCTAAAAAGAATTATTTAGGTCCTAGAGCTGTTACATGATACCAGAATTTAAGAAATGTTACAATAGGCAGTAAATAAAAAAATTAACACATAAAAGTCCCATGATATTTTCAGCTGGCTGCATATGTAGTGGAAACTAACTTTGCAAGTCTTCAGTAAGCTATGCCTGTCTGCTTTCTTCTGTTCCAGCTTGGTCTCTAGAGACGTGATAGTCTTCTGTATGGCGGCAATCTCCTTCTGCTGTGAGGACAACTGCTTTCTGACCTCTGCAATCTCCGTCTCCATGTCATCAAACTGGGACTTGGCCGTGATCTTTGACTGCTTCATCTGTTCCGCGTTCTGCATTTCTTCATCTATGACCTATAAGGGAGGAATGAACAGATATTACTTTTTTCTTTTCTTGGCCAAAGACACCCCTCGTTACAAAAATTAAAAACAAAAAAATAAAACTATTTAAAATCCAAATTTGTTTCTCTTCATCTACAACAAATTGTGAAAAAAGCAACTTACAAATATGGACATCTCTTCTTATACAAAATCCAAGTTTTGCTTTTTGTTAAACTAAGGCAGTTTTCAAAACAATAATGTCAGTATGTACAGAATTTCAAACAATAGAAAATAACCAGAAACAATGAAAAATAAACTCATTCCACACCTTCATCTGCCTAGCTTCATCCTTCTTCAACTTTTCCAATTCATTTTCATCTTCCTTGATGAGACGTTCCCACTTCTTCACACTGGCCAGGGAGTCCCGCGACCTCTCGTATTCCAGCTGATTCTGCAGACGGGACTTCTGGTCATCAAATTCCAGCCTCTTCTTGTAGCGCTCTTGTTGTGCTCGTAGCTCTCTCTCCTCATATTGCCTGCAATATAAAATTTGATAGTTAAGTGCATAATTGAAGCGTTTCCAATAAGTTGTTTTGTGCAAATTAATATTAATTCCACATTTATTCCAACATCTGGTGATCTTTTATCCAGTGCATCAAAAACCTAACAAGTTACAACCATGATCTCTTTTCTTCTTAAAATATTTTCAAACTCCTCTAAATGTTTCTTTTTCCAGACCTCTATCACACCCACCTAATATTGTCCACTCCAATCTGAGCACAGAAATCTCTGAACACCACGTCCTCCACTCTGTTCATCTTGTCCTTGATATGACGAATCTCCTCCGCACGCTGGTTCATACGCGCCTCTATCTCCAGGATTCTGGGCTATAATAATAACATAAATAACACTGCCAAACTTTATTGTATTATATTTTCATCATTCACTGTCAGAGAGTAGAAAACAATTTTTTTCATCAAATTTGAGAGTTAAGGGTTTTGAGCCATTATGTGCTCAGCTTTAAAACTCTTTAATCATTTCAATAACTGACCTCTCCAGTGACACAATGTTAGTGGTTGAATAATGACATTTGAAGAAAGAACTCAGTTAGGAATGCTAAGTGCCAGGCCTTTTACCTCAAAGGTCTCATACTGCTGTGTGTAGTTGATAATATCTTCTTTTTTCTTCCTCATCTGGCGATCCTGTCAAACACAAATATAAATTTATACTAGTGGCAGCGTTTAGTAAGAGAGAATACCATGCAAATTAAATATGCTATTAAAAAATAAGTAATTCACAATAGTGGCACACTGAAGAGTTTGTTCGCAGTACACACACATACACACTCACATACAAACACATTATTAGCTGACAAAGAAACGTGGCATTTTTAAATCAGTAACTACCAGTATTGTCTAAATCATAACTTCCAACGTTATCTCTATCATAAGTCAGTGCTATTCCTATAATAATTTACAGCGTTTCTTCTATCATAACTCACTACATGTTATCTGCACCATAACTTACTGTGTTATCTCTATCAGTGGCAGAATACTTGAGGCGGGTCTCCAGTCCTTTGATCTGTGACTTGGCATTGTTCAGTTCCGACTCCTTCCTCTTCTTCTTCATCTGTTCCTTGAGTTCGTCAGTCAACTTGTCCTTCCTTGCCTTCAGCTGACTAAGCTGCTTTTCGTCCCATCTCCTGGCACGCGCCTTCAGGTCACTGGAAATTGTCAGAGACAATATAGTTTTGATGACAGTATATCAGGGTATTCCTTATTATTCCTTGTATTCCTTACATTAGCAACTGACTGACATTGTAGTCTCAAAATGAAACATTTTACAAGGTAATAAATTATCTGGATGGACTGGTCAAATTATTTATTGACACAGATAAATTTTTATTAAAAATGATAAACTCTTCAATTTTACAATTTTTTCATGAATAAATTTTTTAAGTTAATTACTTCACCAAGAAGGAGCCTCTAAATTCATGCCACTGTCCAACTCTATCCAATAAATCTGGCATTATTTTTTTCCTTTAACGGATTGTTCATATATCCTGCTATTATCAAACTGTACACAAGTATTGAACAGAGGTATTTTATCAATGAATTGCATTAACAAGCACTGCTTACCTAGCACCTCCAGAAATGACCCCTGACTTCTGGAACAGTGTACCATCCAGTGCTACTGTCTGAAATTAATAGAAATAACATTTACATTTAACAAAAGAGTAATATCTACCAAAATCGTAAGGGAGCAATGATCAAAATATTCTAGGTTACAAGTGAAATAGAAAACACTATTTGCACTAAAAAGAAGGAAAAGAAAAAAAACAAGNTTGTTTTTTTTTTTTTTTTTTCATAAAAGCTGAATTAAGTAAGAAAGATTTATTTCGTGGAAAAACCAAGTTTGAGGCATGTAGGAATGTTAAACAACTTCAAGTAACAGTCAAAACTTTATAATTCTTTTCTAGATGGGGGCTGAAGTTGCTGCATTTTCCTCTGTCACAATGAAATGAGTATTATATAGTATTACATAAAAATATTATAAATAACAATCATCCTTTAACCTTGGTCTAGATAAAATGTTTTGAAATGTGAAATGTTCACATTTTCTTTTTTCAAGTTATGAAATATCTTCTTATTAATGAATTTCTTATTATGAAATATCTTCTTATTAATGAATTTACCTTGTAAATTTCATCAATCCTGTTGGACACATGTTCGAAGCATGCCATGAAGCGATCATATCTCTCCTTGCGGACTTTCTCAAAGGCTTGTTTGGCTTTCTTTGCTCGGCGACGGGCCTGTTCAAAATCTTCTGAAGTCTCATGGAGCCTTTCCTTTACACCATCAAGTCTGAAAAATACAGTGTAAAGAGTTATCTTACTTATAAAAACATTTTAAAACATTATGTATTTACTTAAGTTTTAAATATCAGTATCTTTATACCATGTAAAGCACAGAATAAAACAAAAATAATCTTAATTTCAGATATAAAAGGTTCCATAAAATTCAAACAATTGTACTGTTTCGTAAATTTCTTCTTCGAAATTGACTTACTTCTAACTGTCAACCGGAAATATTGATTTCAACTGCACCAATATCAATTAAATAAGCATTAAGCAATTTCTGTAAATTTTCCTTTAGTAATATAATAATCCTTACTTCTCCATAGCCTTCATATTGGGAGCATTGATCCTCTGAATGGTGTTCTGCATATCTGCCACTGCTTTCACCATAGAGTCATGCTTCTTCTTGATCTCATCAGACTGCACCAGCTGAACACACAGGAGAACAGGGATTTAAAATATTAGTCACTTGTGACATCAGTTAAGACAAAAAACAACACAAAGGAGAACAGGATTTTGAAATATTAGACACTCAATTAGTTATAATGGAAAGCAATTTTCATGTGAACAATTAAAATGAATTGTCTCTAATACCCTTATCTTAGAAATTGTCTAAAAATGTTAATGTATGTTTTCACTTCATTAAGGCTAAAAAAAGTACTTTCAACAGAATAACATTACATTTTGGCCTTGAGCAATGGTCACACATGTAAGAATTCCATTGGAAAAAGTCTCTTCACTTCAGATTCATAAAATATTTGGGAAATCAACCTAATGAAAAAGAAAAAAAAAATTTTTCAAAGCTTTGACCCTTCATAAAGCAATCCTTACATCCAGCAGGTCCTCGTCCAGCATATCGTAGTTGACCAGGATTTTAGCCTCCTTCTCGTAGATGGCCTTGGCACCCTGGCTGCTCATGCTGTCGTAAGTGGTGCTCTCTCCTGGTTCTGCCTGACTGGACGTGTCCGCGTCCTGGGTGATGTCATCCATCGTGCCCTGCTTTAACGGGAGTTTGATGTCCTCCATCTGGAAGTGCATGGATTGTTTATGTTAGGTTTGCATTTCCTTAAGTTCATGGGTAAAAGCTGTAAAAACTAAAAATCCTGTAGCTTGCAATTTCTCATCGCATTTAAACCATATGAAAAAACGATCAAATTGCACCCATGCTCAAGTTGCAGTACACCTTCTTTAGATTATTCTTAAAAGAATCATTTAGATCTTAGAGCTGTTACATGATACCAGAATAAACTTATTAAGAAATGTTACAGTAGGCAGTAAATAAAAATATTAACACATATAAGTGCCATGATATTTTTAGCTGGCTGCATATGTAGTGGAAACTTACTTTGCAAGTCTTCAGTAAGCTATGCCTGTCTGCTTTCTTCTGTTCCAGCTTGGTCTCTAGTGAGGTAATGGTCTTCTGTATGGCGGCAATCTCCTTCTGCTGCGAGGACAGCTGCTTTCTGACCTCCGCAATCTCCGTCTCCATGTCATCAAACTGGGACTTGGCCGTGATCTTTGACTGCTTCATCTGTTCCGCGTTCTGCATTTCTTCATCTATGACCTATAAGGGAGGAATGAACAGATATTACTTTTTTCTTTGCTTGACCAAAGTTTAAAATACCGACACCCCTCATTACAAATATTAAAAACAAAAAAATTAAACTATTTAAGATCCAAATTTGTATCTCTGAATCTACAACAAATTGTGAAAAAGAGCAACTAACATAAAATGGATATCATTCCTTTCACATAATTCAAGACCAGCTATTTGTTAAACTATGGTACATTTAATGTCAGTAAAACAATTATGTCAGTATGTACAGAATTTCAAACAATAGAAAATAACCGTAAACAATGAAAAATAAACTCATTCCACACCTTCATCTGCCTAGCTTCATCCTTCTTCAACTTTTCCAATTCATTTTCATCTTCCTTGATGAGACGTTCCCACTTCTTCACACTGGCCAGGGAGTCCCGCGACCTCTCGTATTCCAGCTGATTTTGCAGACGGGACTTCTGGTCGTCAAATTCCAGCCTCTTCTTGTAGCGCTCTTGTTGTGCTCGTAGCTCTCTTTCCTCATATTGCCTGCAATATAAAATTTGATAGTTAAGTGCATAATTGAACCGTTTCCAATAAGTTTTGTGCAAATTAATATTTATTCCACATTTATTCCAACATCTGGCGATCTTTTATCCAATGCATCAAAAACCTAACAAGTTACAACCTGATCTCTTTTCTTCTTAAAATATTTTCAAACTCCTCTAAAGATTTCTTTTTCCAGACCTCTGTCATACCCACCTAATATTGTCCACTCCAATCTGAGCACAGAAATCTCTGAACACGACATCCTCCACTCTATTCATCTTGTCCTTGATGTGGCGGATTTCCTCTGCACGCTGGTTCATACGAGCCTCTATCTCCAGGATTCTGGGCTATAATAAATAATATAAATAATATAAATTATTTTAATAAAGAAAGAAAGAAAGAAATAAATTAATAGCATTAGTAATTTTTATTTTATTCTCATTTTCATCATTCACTGTCAGAGAGTACAAAATCAGCATTTTTTTTTTTTTCATCAAATTTGGGAGTTAATGGTTTTGAGCCATTGTGTGCTCAGCTTCGAAATGCTTAATCATTTCAGTAACTGACCTCTCCAGTGACACAATGTTATTGGTTGAATAAAGACATTTGAAGAGAGAACTCAGTTAGGAATGCTAAGTGCTAGATGTCTTACCTCAAAGGTCTCATACTGCTGTGTGTAGTTGATGATATCTTCTTGGTTCTTCCTCATCTGCCGATCCTGTCAAACACAAATATAAATATATACCAGTGGCAGTATACAGTAAGAGGGAAGACCGTGCGTGTGAAAAAATGCAGGGAAGAAATAAATGAATTAATAAAAGTCCAATGGATCATTGAATTTTAGCCAAAATGTCTAAATATTGAAAACAGTAAACTGAGCCAATTATGGTCCTGGAAAGTTTAAACCTCATTCTATTAGATTAAATGTGCTAATAAAAAATAAGTAAAGAAATTCACAATATTGGCAATTAAAATATTTGTTCCTGGTAAACATAAGCACATACACACTTACGCATTAACACATTAGGAATATGATATTAAGTAAGTGATAAAACTTTCAGTGTCACATGTGATAACTCACTGTGTTATCTGTGTCATAACTTACAGTGTTATCTCTATCAGTGGCAGAATACTTGAGGCGGGTCTCCAGTCCTTTGATCTGTGACTTGGCATTGTTCAGTTCTGACTCTTTCCTCTTCTTCTTCATCTGTTCCTTGAGTTCATCAGTCAACTTGTCCTTCCTTGCCTTCAGCTGGCTCAGCTGCTTCTCGTCCCATCTCCTGGCCCGCGCCTTCAGGTCACTGGAAATCATCAGAGACAAGTTTTATAGTTTTGATGACAGCATATCAGGGTATTCTTTATTATTCCTTACATTAGCAACTGACCGACACTCTAGTCTCAACCTGAGACATTTCACAAGGTAATAAATGATCTGGATGGACTGGTCAGCTTATTTATTGACACAGATAAATTTTTTCTAAAAAATAAACTCTTCAATTTTACAATTTTTTCATGACTAAATTTTTAAAGTTAATTACTTCACCAAGAAGGAGCCTCTAAATTCATGCCACTGTCCAACTCTATCCAATAAATCTGGCAATATTTTTTCCTCTAATAGATTCTGTTCATATCCTGCTACTATCAAACAGAACACAAGTATTAAACAGTGGTATATTATCAGTGAATTACTTTAACAGGCACAGCTTACCTAGCACCTCCAGAAATGACACCTGACTTCTGGAACAGTGTACCATCCAGTGCTACTGTCTGAAATTAATAGAAATAACATTTACATTTAACCAAAGAGTAATATCTACCAAAATCGTAAGGGAGCAATGATCAAAATATTCTAGGTTACAAGTGAATTAGAAAACACTATTTGCCCTAAAAAGAAGGAAAAGAAAAAAAAAAGGAAAACACTTTTTCTTCACTTGCATCTTATTTAAAAGTGAAAGAAAATAACCTCAAAAAATTCAACCTTTCAATTTTGTCTCGATAAATCTGCAAGTTTTAAGCCAAAATTGAGCACAAGGTTTTCAAGGTTTTACTCAAATAATTAATTGGAGGAGGGAGGGGGGGGGTTTAACCATTTAAATTGTTCCTGAAAAATCATCAGATTTAAATTTATACTGAAATAAACAAATTTTTATAGATATCAAATGTCTGCCTACCTTATGTCTCTCCTGTCCCCCAAAAGCGACCCTCCTGGCATCTTCTATGGTCTCACACACCAGGGCACTGCCACATGCAAACAGCAACGCCTTCTTGATACTGGGGATCTCATAGCGGATGACATCCAGGACCAACTTCACATTACGGGGCTCTCGGATCTCTCTGGAATTAGTGAATCATCAAACATTACCTTTAAGATATTTTGATCATTTAATATATTAAATATAATAAAAAGCTGGTTTCACATGGGCTTCTAAAACTGGTAAATTTGCATATAATGTTAGAGAAAAACATCAAGACACTTCAATCCATTAACTGTTTAAAAATAAAAACTTGTTGCTTTCTTTTAAAGTACATAAAAAAAGAGGTTATTTTTCAGTTGTCTATTTTCAAGCTATCCGTTTTTATAACATCTGTAAACCTTAAAAAAAAATAATAAAATAACACCTCATTTACTGATCATTCCCTTACCTTAACTTCTCATTGACTGGCCTAACTTCAATATAATCCAAGGGGAGGAATGTCTCTGGCTCAATCCTCTGCTCCTTCATGTACTGAATGCTGTCTTTGGCTGTCTTCTCGCTGTCACACACTATGGCGTCCATGTATTTGCCCAGCACCTTAGTGATGGCGATCTGGTACCTCTTATGACTGGGCTCACACAGGTCTATCAGGCGCCCATGCTATGGAGGAGATAATAATTAAATTAAATATAGCAGTAACACACTGTATTCTAAGGATCAAGTGGATTATATTTTTACATAACATTTTTCCCTCTTTAAATTAAATCTATTATTATTATTATTATTATAATTATTATTATTATTATCATTATCATAATCATATTATCTTTTATTCTGATCAGCACTAGTACATCTAACACACAGCCTTTATCACTTGTAACGGTGACTTGATAATTTTCACTTCTACTTTATTCAATATTTCACAATAGTACATTTTATTATGACTTAAACTCACCACTCCAGGGAACAGTCTCTTCAAATTTTCCAGGAGTTCAGCTCTTCTTGTTTGCCTTGAGGATTCATGTCTATCCACCTGTGGAGAAAATAATAAAGGCTTGACTATAATCCTCAAAAACAACTACAGCAGTTGTAGCAGCAGCAGCAGTGGTAGTAATATGGTAATGACCAGCATTGCAATTTTAATATCCAATTGTGCTTCATTAAGTAATAAGGAACTGCACCCCTCAGTCCGTAATTCAAAAGAATGGATATCAAATCAAACTGTGCAGTTTTGTACATATAAAATGCACAATGGCATTCAGTGAAGATATGGAGAAAAATAGTTACAGCAAATTTAGACACCAACATCTCATCTATGTGCCCAGACTCACCCTAGCCTCTCCCAGCTGTTCAATGACAGACTCTAATTCTTTATTGATCTCGGCTACCCTGGCGTTGGCTGTCTCCACCTCTCCAGACAGTTCATCCTCTATCTTCTTCTGTTCAGCAATGGAACTGTTACTGGTCCTGAAATTAAAAGTCAGAGCAAGGTGTGTAATCTTGGCATAGTGTATAATACAGCCATCCAGTGGGAGAGGGAGATTACTAAAAGAAATCTTATGAAACTTCGCAAGTTTCGTATTCCGTAATCCCACCCAGTTTTATCAATCCTCAATAATAAATGGTGTGATGACCTTTGAGGTCTAAGAATTTACAGCTTGGGCAGAATTTGAAAAATCTTAAAGAACAAATATTTCATTAGGTTCTAAAGTTATCTAAAACAAAAAGTCATACCAGAATCCTACATGCCCATACTGTAATGTGTTTTAAAGTGAGCCCTGATCGTATAATATGCACATAAGACAAGGCTAACGTTACTTGTTATTAAATAAATAAATAAATAGAAATACAAATAAAAAATAGCTGCAACAATTGCCCCACATACTTGATATATTCTGTCAGTTTGTCCACCCTCTTTTTGTTCTCCTCCACCTCATTTTCTTTCTGTTTCACTTTGGCCATCAGCTCATTTCTCTTTCTGTTCTCATTGTCCAGTTTGTCCTGGTCAAGTTTCTGCTCACGGTTGACCGATTCTAACTCCTGAAGATGGGCAGCTGCTCGTTTACCTGCCTCCTCTTTCAAACGGTTGTATTCTTTTACCTAGAATATGTATTAATAAGTAAACATGACATGCTTGTTGACCATTTAAGACTAATTTCCCAATTATTGCTTTCTATATTCCATACAGATCTTTTCACCTGGAAGCAGCATCCATCTTCTTTTCATAGCAATATCAGTGTGACTACAATCAACTTGTTTTCTACCTTTTTTGTAATCAGGTTAGAAATTTTGGTTGTCAGTGTCATATTAATAACTGTTGAAAACATTTGTGGGGGTTTTCACTCTTACACTTTGATCACTATGCACACTACAATTCCATGTTTTATTTTCCACTACAGTAAACATTTTCTAAATTCTACAATATTCTACTCCCTCGGCCTTAATTTCCCATTAATATCCCAGTACCTGTGACTCCTCTAGCTGTAAGTCTCTGCCCTGGGACTGAGATTCCTCCTCCAAGCTTTCCTCGTACTCCTGTCTCTTTCTCTCCACCTCCTCCAGCTCATCTTCCAGCACCTTGATCTCGTGTTCATGGCTGTCGTGGGACTTGGCTGCTTGCTTCAGGGATTTTCTGGAGAATGCAAATAAACATACACAGAATGATTTGTGCTGAACTTTGAAAGTTGTTGGATTTTTTTAAATACTATTTTTTATCTGGTTATGCCCAGGTTTCAGCAGTTTTTGCCACAATTATTAAGATTGCAGTTCTGGTTTAGCAGGAAAAAAGTCCTTCTTTAGTGAGCCTTGTCAAATCAAAATATATGATATCCTTTTTTTAAGGGGGATGACATTTAATGACATACTAATTAACCAGATAATTTAGTGGCAGTTAAAGTGGCCTTCTGTTTATAAAATCGGCTGAAATACATCATCATCATGCAAGAATCAATTCCCAATATTAAAAGAGCCTTACCTAGCACTTTCAAGTTTCTTTATCATATGTGCCGTCTTCTCCTTAGCTTTTATATACAGGGGTTTCTTTTTGTTAAGTTCTACCTCCTGGTTGGTGAAAAAAACAAACAAAAAAAAAATTAAGAATATAGCAGACTGACTTGGTAATTAAATATCCTTATAATGAATATGGAATTATTGAGATACACTTTTTATATTGTATCTTTTACAGAGAAAAAAAAATGAATAGTGTTTAATATGATGTTATTAAAAGTGTCAGCTATCTAATCCAATTATCATGAACACATATCCATGACACAACTTTCATAAAAATTTCCATTCAGAAAAACAACAAATTTTAGTTCAACTCACCGACTCTTTTATCTTCTGCTCAATCTTCTGCAGCTCTCGGCCGAGTTTGCCTTGTTCTTTCTTCTTCTCTCTCATCTCCTCCTCTATCCTCTCCCGCTTCCTCTGACTTTTCTCCAGGATGGCGTTCTTATGGGACATCTCCTCATTGAGACCATCGATGTCCCTCTCATTATAATACAGCTTGAACAAATGCATTTCCAGTTGCTTTTCAACCTGGAGAAAACAAACCATACACATAACAATATTATCAGATAAAAAGTTAAACAATTATGGATTCAGTTTGTTGAGCACAAACATTTTAACTGGTAGTGTCCTGCCTTAATACAGGTCGGAGGCTCTCTTTAAAAGATATTTAAAAATCTAATATTAAATTTTTTTTACCATTAAATAACTTACATGAAAACCTTACACCTTATACAAAATCAGTTAGAACACTGTTAATCTAGGCAGGCCTCACCACAAAGACAGAGTCTTATGCTCACCTCCCTTTAATAATAATCTAAAACATCATTTCTATCTAACACATGCAAATACCCGTAAGACACACAAAACTCAACATCTCCAAGGATCAACAAGATGCTTTTATTTTTTATTTTCTTCTACTTGATCCAGTAGTCTGAGAACTCACCAGTTGTTCTTGTAGTTTCTGGTACCTCTGAGCCTCTTCCTTCTCCATCTTAGCTTCCTTCTTCTCGGCCGCAATGCCTTTCTTTTTCTGGTAGTTGAACTGGGTGTCCTCTTCTGCCTTCATCATCTCGGCTTTACATCTGTCGTACTCTTCCTTTAACTCCCCAGACCTTTAAGATGCATCTACAGTCAAATCTTTGCCACAAAAGCCGACCTTGTGCCACCATAGTGTTTCAAAATTTGAATTCTATTTAAAAGTATAACTTAGAAAAATACCATAGAACCACATTTCAAATTTACCGCAAAAATGATATTTTTTGCTTACTTCTGTACTGTATATAACCTGGGCAGACGGGTACATCAGGTAAGTAGGTCAATTTTGGACCACAAATTTGAAAAAGCTGCAGTTTTTATTAACTTTAATGAGTGATTTATGTGACCAGTCCAAGAATGGAAAAAATAAAAACCAAAATAACAAAATTTTGCAAAGTGAAATTTTTAATATTTTAACCAATGTCACCACATACCTGCTCATTTCCTCAAACATCTGTGTTCTCTCCTTGGCATTCTTCATAGCAATGGACTCCACTGTGCCTTGGAACACCAGGAAATTCTTCTGCTTCATCAGAATTCCTATCTTTTCCAACTCTCCACTGTACTGGGTTGCTGAGACTGCCTGGATGATATAATAATAATAATAATAATAATAATAATAATAATAATAATAATAATAATAATAATAATAATAATTATTATTATTATTATTATAATAATAATTATAAAAATAATAAAAGTAATGAGGGTCAGATGCAGTTTTAATATAAAAATAGCTGTGAAAATGACTGTGGAAAAGTATTACATAAATATGATCAAAATGACAAAAAAAGCTGAAAACAATATTTGCTTTTCTTTAATTTCTACCATTCCTGCTTTGTAACTCAGACACTTTCTTCCTAAATTCAAAAACTGACTTTTTTGCACACCTCAACATCACCTAGGTTATAAAAAAAATTCTACTCAAAAATTCTCATCACCTTCCCATTAATCTTGTACTCAGAGGAGCTCCCCACAATGATTCTAGAGAAGTGTGTCTCTGTACCATCTTCCTCACAGTACACGGCAGTGACGGTGGCGCGGTGAGCAGCTGGTTGTCCTATAGGAGCACCATGGATCAGATCCTGCAAGAGAACACAGTGATGACACAGTGTTGGGAGTGGCAAAATAGTCATGCACTATTTATTTGTTTTTATTTTTTATTCACATTTCTTTTTTCATGTATTTTATTTAATAGGAGTTAGCAGAGAACAGAGGAAGCATGCGGAAATTGAAAACTATCATGATACTCACGCTCAGTTTCTTCACTCTAAGATTGCTGGTCTTCTCACCCAGTACAAAACTGATGGCATCCATCAAATTGGACTTGCCTAAATATAGAACAGTAATAATTATACGCACATAATCAATCCGATTCTAAGGACAAATTTTATATTCCTGAAAACAATGTCAAATGTTGCATCTTACAATTAATTTGGAAGACTTCATGATTTCCCCATTTATTTAGGGTTCACTAAGAAACATGAACTACCAAATTTTAGCATATTGTCTCCTTCTTATTTAATCATACATCAATTCATTATCAAGCTGAAAAGTGCAATATGCCATAATACAATAATGACCTAAAATTCATTACTTAACCAAAGTGACATGCAACTAGGTTTCATTTTGAATAAATGTCATCTATTAATTTACACCTGTTCACAGTTCAGTGACACGGTAGACTAGTCAGTGCTGCATGCGGCGGCTGCGGCCTGCATTTATTAATCTATTTCAGTTATTCTTAGAAACAAGCCACTTTTGGCTTATAATTATTAGCATAAATTTATAGCTTAAATTTAAGGACCACGGAACCAGACTGCATTTTTTTAAAAATATTGGAAAGTCGTTTGATTTACCTGACCCATTTGGACCGATTGTCGCTGTGAATTGGTGGAAGGGGCCGATCGTCTGTTTTCCTTTGTAGGACTTGAAATTGTCCAGCTCTATGTATTTTAGGAAGCCTGGCATCTTGGAGATATTGCCAGCTTCCTGCACCAGCTAAATGACTGCGATCGATTTCCACTTATAGATACAAACAAAACAATAAATTCGCTTGATTTGCGGCGACCTACATTTCGCGGGAACAAAGTGTCAGTAATTTCTCGTGTCATTGATAGATGGCGCTGTACAAGAAATAAAAATACAATAACGAATAATGTCACAACATATTTTCATCGATAAATCATCCAATTCAAGCAGTCAGGAATTATATAATGGGAGGTGTTTACCAAATATTTCATTAAATGTTTCTTTATTATCTGTCTTACAACAGTCAACTTTATTGCTTATTTTCTTCACTTTGAACGACCTCTTTCGTCAAAAAGGGAATGTAGCCTAAAAGTGTTTGCAAAGGGCAATTTGATTGGATTACTTCCCAACCTATTCTTGTACTCTTGGGCAAATTTGGACTAATTATTTGTACATTGTCTGCAAAAAAACTGAAGAAAACTAGCAATTGAAATAAATTTACAATGTATGCATATGTCTTTTTGAAAATGTCTGGCAAATTTAAAAAGATTTCGGATACTTTTTCTTGAGAGCACTAGCACCCAGTTCAACCAATGAGAACCTTGGACAGACAATATCCCTTGGTTTCTAAAACGTTGATGTAGCAACAAAGAGGGCATGTACAATAGCCGGTCTCCAACAAACAGTCTCCAGAGTTTCGCGATATAATCGGTGTGTTAGAAGTGATAACTGGAAGATATTACCTGAGAGGGTTCATTTAAAGGCAAAGAACAGCACAGATAGCCTCTAAAATGGCTTATAAATTGGATCTACCGATCGACTTGAAGGAGGCAGCCTCCATCGAGAGGCGACGAAATATGGAGGAGGAGAGAAAATCGCGAATTTTTAACGCCAAAGTTCGCCTTATCGGCATAGATCGCCAGGCTGTAGAACAGCAAGTAAGAGACAGGAAAGAGATGGAGGAAATGGAAAGGAGGCGTCACGAAGCCTTTGGTATGTAATTCTTCCGAATAAATACAAGTGGTTATTTGAAAACTTTCTTTTACTTTTTTACTAGTAATATAATATTAGCATCAGAATGGTTAAAATACAGGTAGCAAAGTTTATTCCGTACTTCTTGTTTGCACATTCTATTGAGTACAAATTTGGAGGAAAACGATTGATATTCCAATCAATTTGTGTGAATTATTATTATCATTAATAATAATAATGTATTTATTAACCTTAATACAAAATTTATCTTAAAATATCCTTGTTTGATTTCGTAAACTGAATATTTCCACTATAATCCTTATCTGCTTTACAGCTGCTGATGCAGTCAGATGTGACAGGATTGCTGAACTTCTCACCAAGAGACAGGAGCATGATATCCGCCAGCTAAACCACGCCCTAAATGAATTCCGCCAACTCCACCAACAGCCTTCCAATCGCAGGGAGTGGGATTTATATGACCCCGATTCACTGAAAAAAGACAAGCCAGCAAGAGTATCAGACGACGACCCTCGCTGCGGCATCTCCGGCTTACAGAAATTTGATGGGGAGGACCTGAATAACAAGGCCCGTACTAAATACCAACAAGAGCAGCTGAGGGAATGGTCCGAGAGGCAGAAGAAGGAGAGAGAACAGGCAGAGGAGAACCAGAGAAAGGCAGATAGGTTGTATGAACTGAAGATGAGGGAGTTAGATGAAAGAGCTATGGAGCTGCAGAAGGCAGAGGAAGCCTGCAGGAGAGCCATCAACCATGCACAGAAAGACTTTAACCATGCACTGGTAAGCAGATATAATTGTAAAATTCAATTTATATTTGTTTAGCTGAAATTAAAAAGTAGTCATAGCAAGATATTAGAGATTATTCTGTTAGTTATTTCCTTTAACAAGGAACAAATATATACATGTAAAATCTAGAAAATAGTGGCAATTCTAGAAAGTTGAAATACACCCTTTTATTAAAAAATTGCACCATTAATGATGTTTACATTTCCTGTGATATTGTAAAAATTTTACTAATTGTCCTTTTTTTTAAATTCTAGGCTGCAGAGCAAGCAGAGAAACGTCGCTTGAACAAGCAGCAGGAAGAAGACGACAACGCCACAGAATTAGCCAATCACATCTATGGCGATGTCTTGACGGAAAATCCCGCAGTGGCTCAGAGTGCCTGGGGTCCTCACAGGGTCATCACTGACCGCTGGAAGGGGATGAGTCCAAAGCAGTTAGATGACATAAAGAAAACACAAGATAGACAGAGGAAAGAGAATGAGGTAAATGCCACAGTGGTGATAATTTAGGGATGAAGAGTTGAAATCATAGTAGTATTACTTGTTAGCCTTGTGTTACTTCTATACATTTTCCAAAAAAATGGAAAGGATAGAGTGTGTTATTTATGTAAAATCTAGTCATCAAAACTAAAATTGTGCATGAAATTTGAGTTTTACATTACAACTTGATCATAAGATGTTAAGTAGAGACTGTAATAAATTTAAGTCATGACGTTCCTGTATAAATTTTGATATTTAATTGACAGTAGAGAGTGATCTGAGGAATTCAAGTCAAAAGATATAAAGAACAATGCGTAATTTACATTCCATTATTTTTTCAGCGTTTGAGACAAGAGGAAGATCTCAGAAACAAAGAATGGGATGCTCATCGTGTAGCGCATGCACGTGCAGGCATGCTTATTGAGCGGGAACTAGATAGGCAAAAGAAGGAAATTTTGAAACAGCAAGCAGAAGAAAACCGTCGCCTTGCCTCAGAGCAGAAGGCAAGCAAGGACTATTTATACAAGGAAGTTTACACAAATCCACCCACAGCTTCGTATTTTATGCAGTTTAACACGTCAACACGATAAAACTCGAGACTGCTCTGACAATGTTGGTTTTTAACTGCAGCTAACAAATGGTCACTGATCTTAGTGATCACAAAATTAATGGTGGAAACTCTGACCAGAACACTGGATATCAGAGTTATTCATCATTGATTTCAAAGAGGCATAATTTTATTGGAAAGAATCAGAAAAAATGTATTTATTGCACCAACCACCTCTTCCATTGTGCCTCAGAGAAATGTGTATTAATTTTTTTACTTGAAAGAGGTCATGTTGAGACTGATCCTTTTTGTATCATAAATATTAATGTTGTCGTATTTTCTATTTGCAATAATTCTCTATTTTGACTGTAGCAAATGTTAGTAGTTTTGAAAAGGCTACGGAGGTTACAAATTGTATTTACATCCACTTTAAATGTTGATGCCAACACGAGTAATTTGTTGAATAAGTTAACAGTGATAACTATCAAGTGATATTTTGCTTTGTACCAGTATTAAAGTGAAAGACGTTATGAGATTCTGAAATGAATTGCACTTTAAGATCCTTTGGGCAATTATTATTGTAGCTGGATTTGAAGGATTTTGTCATTGTAACTTTAAAGCAACGTTCTCTAAAAACTTCTAAATGACTGATCACAAAATAGTTTGTTGGTAAGATAATTAAAATAGTATTATTTTATGAATGCCAAACTCGTAGTTTGCATACCATGCCAAGTACTTTTCACAATACGTGGAATGTTTTTTCCTCACTTTCTGTAGCAATAACTACACTCAAGTGCCCTGTAAACTAACTGTAAAGTTAATGAATTGAAGTGCTCATTGATATGCCATGGTGTATATCAAATACTGGTATTATTGTTATGTATTTACTGATCACTGTTCAGCAGTATCAATAAATGACTTAAAATAAACAAGGTGTTCTTATTCTTATTTGTACGCTTAACAGATTGTATCACTAGTGGGCTTGATTTGGTCTTAAAGTGCAATTTAAGTTCACAAATAGTCTTACATGATCTTAAACCATGAGTAAGACTATTTCTGGTCTAACAGCCAATTAAGTTGTCTCCCCTTACACGTTCTCCTATTGTGAGCAGAGGTGTCCTCTATTGTGAGGGGAGGTATCCCCCATTGTGAGGGGAGGAAACTGCTTGACCACTTAAGTAGATGTTAGATCATTTTTGATCTTAAAAGCAGATTCAGTCCATTTTAAGACTACTGCTGTAATGTTTAAGATCGTGTAAGATCACTTGTGAACTTAAATTGCACTTTAAGACCAAATCCAGCCCATTAGTGTATTCTAAACTTGCAAAGACAATTGAGTTAGCTAATAGATATGAAATATTCATCACAAATATGATTGTATTCTTTTGGGGTTAAAAGGAATATATGAAAATTTAAAGCAATCTGCAACATAGCCAAGAAAGGGATAAACTGTGCAAAACATTGTATATTTTTAACTTCTTTAGCCAAAGTCTATTACTATAAGCAACTGAAAAATACAAAGGTGAGCAAAGATACTGTCTATTTCAGTTATATATGTATCCTTGGTCGAGAAGAGAGCAGCCAATCTATAATATGGTATATGACAAATTTCATTACATTACATTTCCATATCATTACAATTGATTATGGACACAATTTCAACATACAACTCAATCTACTATTATCAGTCACCTCTTGCTTAAAAATTGGGTGTACAATTAAAAGGGACCTCTTCTTTGTTAATATGCTGTCATGTTATTTGCATAAGATCATACTTCTTTTTGTATATCAGGTCGGGGTTTTGGATAAATATAATAGTTTGCCAAAAATCATGTTAGTTCTCACTACAAGACAAAAAGTATTAGTAACATCCATTTATTTATTGCTCATTTTTCATACACAGATTCAAGAAACTATAAAATTATTAATTAGTTCATTGATTCTTGCCATTAGAGCAATTACCAGGATATCTGTATTAGAAATGAGAATGAATAAATAAACAAACAAAATTTACATTTTCAGAAATTTTATTGACTCAAGAGATAATTTAATGAGACTTTTTTCTTTATTTATATAATGACTAAAGCCCTTTGATAGACTACCACAGACTGAAGACCCTCAGCATAAAAAAATGGAAAGAAAAGGACACTTTTAAAATAAAGGAGAGTATAGTTTGTAGTTGCTTCAGCTATGAACAATTTTCTGTCAAATTCGAATAAAGCCCTTTTCACACTGAACAGTATACTTTATTAATAGTCTGTACCAATACAATGAATGCTTCAAACATGTCATAAGTTCACTACTTTGGGCTTATTAAATGGCCACGTATAGTATGGTAGCTCCACTTAGAAGTCTCATTCAAAATAGTGCACAACTATTTGCACCAAATAATGTCAGGGCGGAAGCAGTTGTAAATTTACATGAAAAAATAAAAAGGGCTAGAATTTACAAAAACCTTCGAGAATACCAACTTATATGAACAATTGGACTTAAGTGAAAAGTTAAAAGAATCCAAAAGTTACAACCTTTTGAGAATATGGCCCCAGTTAAGTTGTCAATCCCTCATAATGTACCAATACAGACTGTATCACTTCAGTATAATACCACTCAGCGTGAAAAGGACCCCCGAGTTAAGGCCAGGTGTTATATCTTTCAAGTTCCCTGCTGCAAATGCTTATAGCCCTTAAATAAATCTTATTTCAACATCATATATCATATCAATGACCCTATCATATTCACTGAAGGTAACCTTCGTTGTTCTCCTTATCCTTAACATAACTAGAGTTGTACAATCTATGAAAATATAAATTCGATGGTTAAATTTAATTGCTGTTTTATCACAATTTTATTTATATAAGTGAGAATAGGTGTTATTGTTGCATGTTTAAAAAAACTACATGACTATCTTTCCTTTAAAAAAGAAATAAAGGGTTTATAGAATAATGTACAGATAAGAAACATTATTTAGCCTTTAAAGGAAAATGAACCTGTGAAATTTAAAACATAAAATATCAAATTAAGTGCACATATATACCCTATGGTGTAATCTTTATACCAAAAAAGAAATCTAACCAAAGAAAAAAATCATAAAACCAAACCATGCATACCTATATCGTTGTTTTACATAAAAAAATTCTACTACTTAAAATACCAGAACCACAATATACATATGCACCCAAAATAGGATAACATTACCCATTCAAATATGTTATGTGCATTACATTCAGTATCATATATGGCATATAATAGAAGTAAAGTGCCCCCTGGCAATACATCATTATAAATCAAGTAGCACATGCTTAAGAAAGCTAAAGTTGTACCTATAATAATTCCCCTAAATCAAGAGTAAAAGTTTTAAATTAGAAAATAATAATTTTGGCCAATCCATTAGTGATTTGACTTTTAAAAATATTTGATTTGTCTAAAGCTGGGAGTAAGCCCAGAATGCAAAGAGTAGCAAGTTATATACAGATAATAATAATAATAATTAAATATATATATATATAAGTAATACCACAGTAGTACCAGATCCTGTCAGGTGATACTGGTTACAGTACTTTGCTTGAACCACAATAAATAGTTGCATGAATAAGCATTACTTAGAAAGATTTTTGCCCAAGACAAAAACAAGTTATTAAGGAACTTGTATAACCTTTATCATAAATCTAGCTTAATATCCCACTCCATCAGTCTACTAAAGGGGAACATGGGCAAAAAATCATGTTAAAAAAGACTGTCAAAAAATCATTACAAATTCATGACATATTTGGTACCCAGACAGCAAAGACAGAAATAGCTCAAAGATGAGTGATGGGAACGCACAATAAAAAGTTGAAAGTACCAGTAGATTGTTGTTGATATTGTACAATCAGGAGAGAGTACATATAAAGCACATGTAGCTGCCATTTGTGTTTTTAACTTGTGACACTTGAATAATTACAATTTCTATTGCAGACAGGTATCACACACATTAACACTAACATTCTAATTTCTATGGGTGATTTACATGAAATAACTGCATAATTGACACTTCTGCTACATAAAGGTACCACATACAGTAAACATTAGTATCCTTTGGGTGATTTACACTACACAAATGTATAACTGACATTTCAGCTACAAAAAGATATCACAAACATTTAACATTCTTTGAGTGATTGACAATAAATATGATAAGAAGTGTCTTAAATATTGTTTTTTAATATTAGAAAATATTAGAAAATTTTGCTATTGGAATGTTTAAGACTTCGCACCTATAACTTGATTGTAATTCTGTTTTATTTAATTGTATTTTGTGACATGACAGGCAGACAGACAGACCAGGAAAATGTAACTCACAAAGCATTGAGTCTGATTTTTTTCACAATTTTTGCACTGTACTTTTCTGTTGCATAATAAGACAAATAGAATAGAAATATGCGACATGAAAAGAAACCCATTTGATTTTACTTTAAAAAATCCTAGTTAATATCAGTGATAAGACAATTTAGAAAATAAGTTTTCTTCCAGCTAAAGATGCCTCATCAATAGTAGTTTTGATGGCTTACTCAAAGCTCAGGGATGAGCAATCCTTTTACAGTGATAATTATCAAGAAACTTAAAACTAATAATGCTTTCTTTTGTGCAAATCACTACAAAAACTACTTCCAAAGGAAATTCTAAGTTTTACAAGATAGCACCCAGTACTTTAGTCTCTAGAATATTATTAAAATTCCAATCACCTATGTACATATCAAGATACATAACCTACAAGCATGTCAGACCTTTTAAAATGAAATGTACACCCCTGATCAAAATCTAAATATCAAGATAAGTAATAGTGCAAGGATGAGTAATTGTGAGGCATAATGAAAAAAAAAATATGCTCATAAAATATATATGAGGGTATTCACGAGTTCTAAACCTACCTGTCAGGGTCAGTAAGTACTGTTAAGTCACAGAAGTCACTATATTATAATATTCATAAACTTTTAAACTATGAATATCACTATGTTCCATGAGAATTTTATATGCAGCCATTTTATTACTTCATATATTGAATGCTTTCAATCCAAAATACACTACACATACTTCTATGTGACCAATACACCATTTCTATGGTTATCTTTCTATAATTTGGTATCAGTGCTTCAAAATCAAATCAGTTACAAGAGACAACAGTTAAAAGAGAACTATTACAGACCACATAAAAACAAAGCTATTTATGAACTGTATGGCACATCCATGCTTGCACCACGGTACAGCAAGAATAAGCATATAATATGTCGAGTGCATGGTTACAGCAATGAAAACTGCATAGCTGCATGTCATTTGTCACTATATAGCCATACATATATGCATCAGCCATACATAAATAATTAATTGTGTCACAGGTAATACTGAAATCCTGTCACAATTTAAATCCGCCTTTTCAATCTCGCCTAGGCAGATTTTAATTCTGCCTGGATTTCAACCTGGCCTTTGACAAATATATTCAATCCTCAGAATAATACCATCCATGTTCAACCTGCCCTTGATGTAGTTATGCTTCATCCAACTGAATAAAATGAAACAAAAACACCCATGTACCTTATTCAAGTTAATTAACTTAAACCTTATTCTCTCCTTTAGAATATGAACACCAAGAAAAGCTATAATTCCTGCACATTTTTCACCTCTGGCTATCAATAATGCTATCATCAAAATATAATAATAATGATAATAATTTTTTATACAACTGACACCTGCAGTCTAGGATAAATATTTTATTGGATATAGAGATAAAAATGAACAAGATATATACTACTTCCCAGAACATACACACTCCCTCGTACTCACACACTCAGACATACATGAACACACTCACACACCCTAACCTTCAATTATGTTTTTAAACTCTAAGATTGCTCCCATAATGTAAATTCAAACACACAATTTTCCTACTGTAACCAAGAGAGAAACACTGTCCTAAAATTGATCACTTTGCTGACAGCGACAGACTGGACAAATCTGGTCGGCTTTACCCAGATTTAGCTGTTCTTGATGGCCAATTTGTACTATCTTTGATTACTGCTCATCTTTGGCCTCAGTCACCACTGGTAGAGGGGGCTTTTTCTGCTCCTTTAGCTTGAAATGTGTGTATGTCACAACACCTAAAAATAAATTTTAGAATTTACAATCCTGCAAGTTTCAAATACTGAAAGAAAGTTTCCTTCTATACAGTAAAGCACCAGAGAATAGCCTTCCTAGTTTATAGTAGTATTACAATATAAATACTCAAATAATCAAATATAGACTTTTTAAAGAATTCAGAATTAAGTAGCAAAAATTCAGAATTTTGTCAGTCAACAAAGCCATCTTGACGCTCACTACGGCCTGTTCTAAAAGCCTTCTGCCAGTCTTTTACTGACACATTCTCCATTTTTATATTGACTCAGACCCCATTCCCATGCCCAGATCGATCTTGCAGGATCAACCCATCTCGGAGGGGTTTCTCACTAAACTGAAGCTGAAGCTGTTAGGGGGTAATTAACTATTGTTTGGCAGCTTCAGTAGGCGGGCCAGACATCTAAGCCGCTTATTAAGCTGAATGTAATTTAGCAAGAATCTCCTCATAGATGGGTCAATCTTGCTAGATCGATCTAGGTACGGGATTGGGGTCTTGTATATGTGTATCTTCCTACCTGCTACCACCAGTAGAATTCCTGCTATTTGGTTGATGGCCAGAGGGTCTCGGAACAGCAGAAAACCTCCCAACAACACCAGGACAAACTTGAGGTGGCCCACCATGTTATAGCTGTGGTATGGAGTTAAAGAGGGAACAATCACATCAATATTGAAAATAATTGAAACAACGGGAAAAAAATACAAACTGGAGAAGTTATTTAATATGGCGAGTGATGTGAGCGGAACAGATCATACTCCTTTTGAATTTTTATTTTAAAAGGGTAGCAAATAAAACAGTGTCTTTCGAGTGACAGTTTCCATTTTGCTCACAACTTTGTAAATTTTATACCAAGCAACTCCAGGCTTTTTGGTTCATTATTGTAAGGATACGTGACAGCGGAGGTATTGCCTATGATCCAGAAGATGGTCAAGTTAACCAGGAATGCCACACAGCTGGACAAGAAAACCATGCCCTGAAAAATACATATATACCATTTCAGTCATTACACTCTATTACATAAAGGCATTTTATGTGTAAAAACCAATATGCTTGCAAATAAACAAATAGATACATAGAACACATAATTTACCAAATTTTGAGAGAAATAATTTCTTAAGAAAAGTGAAAAATAGAGCACTTTCATCTTAAATTGATATTGATTGACAGTCAATACACAATCATCCCTAGAGTTAATTTAAATACATAAGTAATTTAAATGGCAACCAAGCACTAACGTGAATAATTAAACAATATAATGCATAAAATATATATATATACAATATATTCAAAGTATATAAATACACCTTGATTACAATCAATAATAAATATAATAAATAAATATGAACTTGGTGGTTACCCAAACTGTTGGTGGTATGGACTTCAGGGGCAGCATAGGACTTAGACCTATGACATCTTCAAACAGTGGGATGATGGGAAGGAGAGCAATGGCCGACATTGGGGCCTGGTAAAACAACAGCTGCATGGAGTTAACTTGGAATTCCTGCTGCTTGCTGCCCACCCACTGAAAATAATAACAATAATAATAATAATGATGATGATGATAATAATAATAATAATAATAAGCTAAAACACAATCCAACTTGTTCCTAATTTGTTTCACCATGTATTATAATGTACAAATATCTACAGATTAAATGTGAGTATATAATTTTATAAATAAGTCAACCCATCAATAAACCAATCATAAATAAATGACTGAGTGCAGTCAGGAAAGAACTTCATATTATCAATTTGTCAATCTTTAGGATGAAAGTTTATTACTTGACTGATAGTGCTAAGCCAGGATTTAAAAGGAAAAAAACATGCAACCCAAGTTGATCTCATAAACAATTCAATAATATAAAGTCTCTTCATACCACTTGGTAAAATGAAGTCACTAAAACACCTAAAGAGGCATACACTGTCCCAAGGATGTTGAACTTCACATCATAATAAGAGTTGATGAAGACTCCTACAGATATTGGGATCTGAAATGAGAATTACATGGTTTTTAAATACGACAATGGCTGGTGTTCTATTTATATTTTAATGTATTTATTAAAATTTTACAGACAAATTAAGTAAATTCACAGGGTTGTAGACATTGAAATAAAAAAAGACATTTATAGGTCTATAAAAAAATTTGGAATACCAATTTTAATACTAAATACTGTTTTATGCAACTATACAAATGCTATAGCATAAACATGACTATCTGAATTAAAATTTATTCAGGGGGCAAATACTGATTTCCTGGATCCCCTTCTATTTATATGACCGTGACATCATGAAATCAACATTATTTACTCAAGTTAATATGAAGACTGATGATGGCTGTTCATGTCTGAAGACAATGATATACAGCTCATCCTCTAGGTTTATCTAATATGCACACCCAGTGCAAGATTTATATCCTATGCCTCTATGACTATAATAAGCACAGCTACGGCCTTTGGGATGTTACAGGATATATATATATATATTATCTGCAATATTTATATTTAATAAGAAAGAAGTGAATGAATAAAAAGTAAGAAAAAAGGACAAAATAAACCAATGCACATACTAATATCTATACTCTATTATTCTAAGTTGAAATTCTTCTAAATTCTTATTTGTTGTGCATTCATACATTTAAACACATTATATGTCAGATATCTCATAAATCTCTTTACAGTACTGAAAGAGGACAAGCTGATTCCCTTGTTTCCTCTCAGCCTATTATAAATCTTAGCTGGAAGGCATAACACTTGACAGTGGAGTAAAATGATAGTATATAGCTGCACTGCCTGATAATGCTGATCTAGAAAAGTGAAAAAATATTGTTCCACAATCTTTCTTAAACAATATGTATCTTCTGACATATATTAATTTTGAACATGAAAAAAAGCACTAATACACAGATGCAGTGTGTCCATCTCCATGGCTTATTGGTATTCAATAATCAATGATTTTCAAATCAAATATATACTTAGTTATTCATTTCTTTATGGCAACGAATACTTAAAGAAATAATCCATTATTTTCTCCTTAATGATTATGCCACCCTGTAAATAACGTTATAAATACCACCATGTTCATTGCTATCAATGAGCAAAGTTACTATTTATCCTTACCGCAGTCAATTTGATTGGCAAAGAAAACGTTTTGCCGTGAAAAGAAGTCTGAATCACCATGATGCAGGGCATCGTCAGCGTCTTAAACAGCTGGTATGTTCCCACTGTGTTGTTCTGCAGAGAGAGGTTAGTTAAGGCCACGAATCCACAGAACGATAAACTCAGCGGTATCATGGAGATAATGGGGAGACTTTTTCTTTGGAATACCCCAAGTCTTTCGCAAATGAAAAGTCCGAGTCCAGTTATCATGAAGTGAATACATGTCAATGTTATGTTCGGAAAACCGTGGATGTACACCCATTTGTTGACGAAAACTATGCTGATTGAGCATGCTATGTTGGAAATAAGTCCAAACGCCACTAAAAGTCGGCTTGGTGGCTTCGGGGTCCCCATCGTCGTGTCCATCGTGAAATAGGTGTCTAACAGACATCGATATTTACAAAGTTAGCAAGACGCACCAATTAAAGGTTTTGTTATTTCGCAGTTATATTCTGAATAAAAGGGAGATAATGGCGTGGCTCTTTACAATGATGTTGCGTAATGTTGTTCAGGTTGTGACACTAAAAAATATTTATTAGACCTGGAGTTAGTATTTTCTTGATACCAAAGGTCACGAAGATCAGAGAGGTCACGTTGATTCAGTGATCGCAGGTGGAGATAGTTGGACGTACTTTCATTAATTCAAGGAAGGCTTTAGAGTAGAGCGATGGATTAATTCCAAGGATTTTATTTAACCAGATATCAGTATGGGAAAGGAGAGCGATTTCTTAAAGGCGGTGAAGGCGAGCGATGTCGAGAAAATTGAGGTACGTGGGACTTGTCAAGTTTCTGAGTGTGAAACGTACAACTTGTACAACTTACAAGTGCCAGGAAAGTGATACAAGGGTTCACTGTATGACTTTTGACTGGCGCCTCTGTTTTATCGACCGCTCGAAGTATAATAAGTGTGGGAAGAAGCTGTGATTTATATAAAGCATCAGATTAGACTAAGTCTCTATTATATTTAAAGTTATTTTTTGCTAATAATTAAATGTTTTAAAACTTTTTAAGTATTGATTAGTTTACACTACTGATTTATTGCATTTGTATATTTTAACAAGGAAGTTGATTGAGCAACTTTCACCTTACGAGTAGCTGTATTCTTTAAAATACTGACTAATATGAAAAGTTTTTAAAGTTATATTCTCATAATAATGAGTCAATGGTCTATTATTCTCACTTCTGTTTGCAGTGCATTTGTGTATGGGGGGCAGAGGTCATGGGAAAATTGTATTTTGCTTGATCGGAGCTAATAAATTATTTTCTTAACATGTGCATTTATAAAAGGCTTTAATGTGTTCTGAATGTACAGTTTTTTAAGACAAATAACGTTATGCATTAAAGAGAAAGAAAATTATAAATCACCAGGAAGTGATTTCTGTTCTGTTCCATAAAGCACCGTTTGAAGTTAGTCATGAACTTTCATTTCCAGAAACTATACAATCCAAGCTCTGGATCTATTATGCGTAAGAAAGACAAGCATTTCCCGACTACGGAAGAGCTTCTAAAGACCAATCAAATCATCCATCTGCGACATCTCAATGTGAACTGTCAGGAGGAAGATTCAGGATATACCCCGCTGATCATAGCAGTTCTTAATGGTGAGTACGGAGATGACTTTCAATAGACTAGATAAAAAGCAGGACAACATTGGATTCATCTGTTCAGCGTATCTGATTATTTGGATTGGGGATGTACACATTGCTGTTCATATGGTACAGATATGTTGTTTTGATGGTTATTTTTCATTACAGATCTGTAAAAAATAGGGAAAAAAGAGAAAATAAGGTACATGTACAGAGTTGGTGTGGAAATAGTGATTTCAGTGAAAAAATGGTGCAAAGTACAAAAAGAAGATTGGATTATCTGTTTTGCACAAATTAATGTTAAAAGCACAATCCTACAGACTTCATATCATAATAACATAAATATATGCCAGATTTTAGCAGTCATCACTAAGAATGAAGAAGAAATTCAATGTCCATGAATAATGGTTATGGAATTGTCATAGGTGAAAAGATGGCATTTAAATATATGCCCTGTCCTTATGTCTGTTATACATTTGTAGTTGAGATAAAGGTGCTACAGAATCTCTGCTTACTTAAATCTGGCCTCTTTGTACATGGGGATCATTTTCCTGTGTACCAGTTTTGATCTTGATCAAAATCAAAATAAGAAAAAAATACAAGATCACCACCTTTCTTTTGGGTTGGTCATGCAAACAAGTAGACAGGAGTCCCCGTTTAAACAGCCCCATGACTTGTAATTTGCACTGGAACATGATTAATTAACTTGTTTTTGTGCTTTATAAACACTAACTGCTCGCCTTATAGGGACATTGGGTTAATTTTTGTACAGAAAGCACATAAATATTTCTCATACATTTTTTTCTTGTGGATATTCTATTTAAATGCAAAATAATAAAGTGCAGTAGGAAAGGGGTTAAAATTGATAGACAAAGAAGAAAGAACAGAACTGTAAAGGATGCTTCAGCTGTTTAATTTTGATTTATAGGTTTGGTAAGAGACCTTTGTACAGAAGGGGGAAGCATATATCATGCTTGCTCTGTGAGCCTGCCTTTAAGTCACCTTGCTTGTATTAAGCTTGTCTGCTTAGGTGCTGACATTAGAACACAAAACTAATCACGCGTGAAAAATTAAAATTCTTTTAGTAGGTTACAGGAAGATGGACTAAAAACTGGGTATACAATATATATGTAAAAAGTTGTTTAAATCTTAACCCCAATCAGATTTACTTTTTAGAATATTTATGGAGATTCATAATTGATCCTTGGCGTCCTGGGAGTTGCTCTTACAGCATATGTTTTCCTAAAGCTAATCATTCACTAATTCAATAAAAAGTCAGTAGCAGAAAGGTATATTTTTCCATTTTCTGTACAGGTAAAATGTCTTCATCATTTAAGGAGAATTTTTATGTTCTTGGACACCGTCCTTTCTCCTGTCTTAGACTGGGTTCCAATACCTAGATTAATAAAACAGGATTGATCCATCTTTGAGGATTTACTGACTTAACAATAATTAATTACCCCCTAGCAGCTTCAGTAGGCATGACAGACATCTAATCCGTTTAAGTTGATTGCAATTAAGCAAGAATCCCCCTTGGAGATGGATCGATCTACAGTAGGTACGATAGGGTCTGGGAATACTGTTTATCACTAGTATGGCTTACTTGAAGAAAGTTAAGGACAGTAAGGCAGTTTGTCATCTGACCACACACTGTCTCGTACACAGGAAGCTACAGGTTTTAATGACAGCCCACGGTGAAAGGTGAGTGGTCAGTGAGTCACCACTGGTCCAGTTAGGGTCCAGTTATGGGTTGGTCAGTGCACCTGTAAGCTAGCCCTGTTTAGATCAGGGCTTAATGGATGGAACTGGCCTGCTTCTTGAGTTGACTAGAGAAGAGAGAATGAGTAGAGAGAGAAGCCACAGAAGAGGGGTGTACTAGTAGATGGTTGGAATTAAATTTAAATCAACATTTTTCCTTCTTTCTTTTTACTGGTTTAATAAAGATCTCCATGTAGAAAACACATTTTGAATGATATTCTTCATTAGATGAATTCTTTAAGCAAAGTAATTGATTTATCCCATAGATTAATTTGGCCACAGCCAGGCATTATTTGCTCACTTCCATTTTAGGATTGCCGTCAGCCTGCTTAATCAGGAATTACATCATGAGTTAATATCACCGGGCGCATCTACTTTTTAAAGAATGAAAAATGTTGATATCAGCCAAAATGTGCACCTGCTCACAAAGCCTGCTGCCTCATGGATTAATATCTACATGAATAGCAGACAAAAAGATACGGAGAGTTTCACGTAACTGTGGGAGCTCTCCGCACATCTGTTGTATTCGTCTCATGTGCGGGCTGTCAAGCAACATACCTGAGCATAGTAATTGCAAGTTACAGTCACTTTCAGACCTGCTAGACACAAAAACGGGTTTCAACATTCTCGCCGTCTTGTATGAAAATTGACAAGTAATAAATATACTTGTAATCTTGAAAATTCTGATGTCATTAGTGTTAGTTTACTATGATATTTTACAGTAATCATCAAGAAAGTCATTATCTAATTTGATGATAAATTGCAACCAACAATGGCAAATCAGTGATGAAGTAGCAAAATTAAATGATTATCTCAACTTCTGTAATGATGTTATTATTTCTAGCAATTGGGAAAGAACATGTACTCATGCACTATAAGAAGGTGCAAAAGAAAATACTGGCCCCAAGGCAAAATGTCTGACAACTTGTAATGTATACTAGTAATGAGTCCCCAACCCCAAAGGGGCACAAGGTGGCCTAAAGGGGTGTCGTTTTGGCAGGTGACATGTAATATAGAGGGAGCCTCAAGGAATTTTCTGACAAGTGATGGTTTAAAATAAAGTGACAGGCTATTCTCTCCAGAGCTTCAGGTGCTTTTGTTAAGGAGTGAAAAAAGACTAGCAGGACAAGTTTGTCATTTTGAAAAGGGAAAGTGGCATTGCTAAGATACTAGCATGTTGTCTTGAACCCACCAGACAAGTCCTAGAAGTAGTTGATAGAGTACCATATTTGCAAGGCTTTGATTTGAAATAAATGGGAAAAAAAGCAACTGCAGAACATTTGCAGTTGGCATTTTAACAGATGTTAGAAAGTAGTTTATATAAATCAAACTGGCAATGACAAAAACATTTTTTGTCCATACACCCCTCCTTCTTTCTCTCCCTCTCCCCTCTCCCCTTCCATGTGGTAGGTTGTTATGGGTAATAAGAAGCAAACTCTGTAATTTTTATACCACCTTAGACTCCTTGGGATTTGAATAATCCAGCACCATTATTCTTCAACATGGTTCTGAATGTTCTGTTCTACTTGGTCAAGCTGCTTAGGCACGTTTTGAAAAGAAATTGGCACTTCTGTGATCAGATTTGTGTGGTAATTGGTTATTTGGAAAGTATCAAGAACTTGTACCATACACTGGGGTTATATGTACATATCCTATCATTGATAATGACCGATTTAAACTTCCTTGCCAGAGACGTGATTGATGACTTTATCATAGAGTGTGACTAATGGATTTAAGTATGTGAAGGAAAAAGGCAAAAAAAAAAAAATCAGGTGAGGTAATAGTTAAAGTATCATGCAGGGGTGTAGGGCGTACCTTGAAATTCAATTGAAATACCTGAACATATTTTTTTCTCCCCAACAGCCATGGTAAATTTAAGATGTAATTGAAGGGCAGTGTTATTGAATTTTACACCCTTCTCAGATGCTTGTGGTTTCAGTAAGTATTTTACTCTTTTATTATCAGTTCTCATGCTTTCAATCAACCTAGGCTATGTGTTCAGTGAGTCAATTCATTTTGGGGAGTTTTCAGGCCTTAGAACATTATCAATAAAGTAAAATTCACAATAAAGATTTTTGGAAGTTTTTTTAAATATATCTGCAAGACATAGGTGTATTTATTTCAAGCTCACCAATGAATTGTTGAAACAGACTTTGTTGTTAGATTTTTTTAAAAGGAAAAAAAGCAACTGTATTGCCTCATGCAGAGAGCAGCAATGGTGGAGACAGATCTGTCAGTCCAAGGTCAGAGTTTTCGTGCAGACCACATTTCCAGTGACAAATTATAAAGGGGAAATGTACTTAATAACCTTATATATGTATATAACTAGACCCCCCCCCAGCCTTGACTGAATGGAGCATTTATTAACTACTAGTTGCACTAACTGAACTGACAAAAAGACTTAACATCTGCATCTACAGACACTCCCCCCCTGTTGAGATTTGACTTAACTCGTGTGTAATTTTTATTAATGGGAATACCTTATACAAAAATTGTGCCATTTTGATTACAGTTCTTAGATACACTTCAGTTTAAGCATAAGTTGAGGTAATACATAAAGGGAGAGAGGTTGATAATGCAAGGTAGGACAGGGTCATCATTAATGCATTCTCTCTTTGCCACTGTTGATTGAATGCCAGAAGATTGCAAGGTAGTTGAGGGGGGAGGGGATCTATACAATTATAGCAGCACAAGTGCTTGCTTTAGTTTAAGAAAACTTCCAATCTGTCATAGAATTTTATGTAGAGCTTCTGTACATGATAATCAAAGGTCAATATAGACAAAAAATAGGTCTCATCCTCTTTGATACAATTGCATGTTCGAATGAAAAGGAAAGAGGACTGTACTGTAATAGGATGAAGTTTATGTGAAAAGGTAAAAATGACTGGTGGTAATAAGAAGATCAAAATGTCACCAAAGGATTGCTGTGTTTGTAATAAATTTAAATCGGTTGTTTTGCACTTTATACTTCAGACCTTCCAAAACCTAACAGGATGTTATTTAATACAAACTCTGCTATCGTTTTGTTTTTGATATAATTACGTTTCATGATATGAGGTTGGGTTTATTAAGGCTAAATTTACTGATAAGTGAATTTCTGGGTGTAATGTTGTGCGTGTTTAAAATAAAAATAAATCACTATAGTATGTCCTAGTACACATAAGTTATATTTACATTAGATAAGCACTGGAGAACAGATTAGATTAGCTGACTCCAATTTCACTCTTGTTTTGAAATAAACTACTCCACATTCGTAA